CCCCCCCCAACGTTTGCTCTTATTATAGGTAGATGCTTGCTGTTCCCGGAAAAGCTGCATCGGCGGAGGGGGTGTGTTGCTCGCGCTGGTTTGAGCGAGTTTTTTTTCTTCTATTCAAGCAACGTCGTTGGACGGCGGCGTCCAAGAAAAGCAAAAATTACCTTGATGGAATCATCAACCCTACCGTTCCCAGCATGTCAAATGTCCCTTGATGGCCCCTACGGTGGTCCCGTCGCCGCCCGAGTGCCGCACGAGTCCATGACAGGTCCAAATGGTGCATCTGCTGACGATTGATGCCGTATTGCAGTTGCCGTTCTCCGAGGTGACGCCAAGGTTGGCGGCACCGTCACCTTTGAGCAGGAGTCAGAATCTGCTCTTACGTCCATCACTTGGGACATCACCGGCAACGACCCCAATGCGAAGCGTGGTTTCCACATTCACACGTTTGGCGACAACACCAATGGCTGCACTTCTGCTGGACCTCACTGTGAGTATTTGCATTGCATTCCGCCGGGGGCCAACACACCTACGAATGCGCCCTGGGCGTGGCTGGCCGTTGCTTGCAGCTGCTGCTTTGTTGTACCACGTTCGAATCTCCGTCACTGACCTCGCTCGTCCGTACAGTCAACCCTCACGGCAAGACCCATGGTGCCCCTGCCGACGAGGCCCGACACGTCGGTGACCTTGGCAACATTGACACTGATGCCCAGGGTAATGCCAAGGGCTCCGTGGTGGACTCTCTGGTCAAGCTCATCGGCCCTCACAGTGTCATTGGCGTGCGTTCACATCTACCCTGCCGTGATGTAGCTTCTTGCCAATCGACCTTCTGACCATACTCCATACAGCGCACTGTCGTCGTTCACGCCGGCACCGACGATCTCGGCAAGGGTGGCAACGAGGAGTCTCTCAAGACTGGTAATGCCGGTCCTCGACCTGCTTGTGGTACGTATCGCCGTTTCGATTGCCCCCCCGAACAAGAAGCAGAAAGAAGAAAACGCATGTTGACAATGGCACAGGTGTCATTGGCATCTCCTCGTAAGTTCAACCCGTGCCTCTCGCTGTCGGTCTCAAATACCGTGCATGGCGGGGTATCAGTTTGGCTACCGCCAAAATGAACAGAATGGATAGAAATAATATGGTCTATGGTTTTCAAATTGAATCCTGCCATCGTCCTATGTGATTTCACACGCGCCTCTGTCTTTGTGATACGCTTGATGTATTTCGCAGCTGTATTTTTTTGTGCCGCGACTGATGTTGACATCATTGTGTTGGCCTCGACTTTAAGCTGTGAGGAGGGGTAATAGATGTCAATGCATCACTGGCCGCCCGCACAAAAACAGCTGTCTTGGGTGTCCCGCTCAGCCGTTGCCCCGCGCCGGCCCCTTGAGAATGCAGCATGTGGCGTTTTCTCTCCAGTATCTCGCTTAATTAACCAATTTGGGCGGCTCGAGCACCGATGCAAGCGCCCCAGGAGTCAGAGGTCCCTGACTGACACGCCCCGACACGCCCCGACACAACCCCGGTATGGCCACTTCAAGTACTAGATGCTTGAGTTTCCAGCAGGCTGGACGTCTGTCTGGACCCTTATTACTGAACACATGCACTCCGGACAGGGTCGGGCATTCGTGACACCTTGCCTCAACAAGGGCACACGACCCGAGCTGCACCCCAAGACACCGCCTCCGTCTCCTCAACCGACTTCCTTCAAGTTTTGAGTCGAGCTTGGTTTATCTCTATCCTTCCCAGAGCCCCATATTCTTTTTATCTCGATCCTCCTTGGTAAGCGCTCTGATTTCATTTTCTCTTGCATATGGTTCTGTCCGCACCAATTCTTGCTTTCCGTGCTTGCTTACAGCTGCCTGCATCCTTCGGGTTGCACACTCCATGCCCGGTGATGCCGTTGCTCGATCCCGGTGACATGTATCAGCAACTCGTGGCTTCTTCTTCTTTCAAGATTTGGTGTTGACTTAGTCCCCATTGCACAATAGCTCAATTGTGTGGACACGGATAAACTATGATTGCTGTCGTGTCCGCATTGCCTGGACTCTTGGGCTCAGAGGCTCAAGGCATTTTCTGTCCTCGCAGGTCCGCCTGTAGATGACGACTTGCAGAGAAGAAATTACTGACGCCGTGGCCCCGAAACAGTCTTCTCCCGTCCGCCTCGACCAATCATGTCCAAGGTATTCGTCGGCAATGTCAAGAGTGTGTTGAGCGGTGACACACTGATCTTGACAAGCCCCAATAATCCCGCTGCCGAACGAATCTTCGCGCTCGCATACGTCACCGCCCCCCATCTGAGGCGAGAGGGAGACGAGCCGTTTGCTTTCCAAGCTCGCGAGTATCTCCGAAACTTGGTTGTCGGAAAGCTGGTTCAATGCACAATTCAATACACCATCCCCAACTCTGGCCGAGAGTTTGGCACAGCCAAGTTGAAGGATGGGAGTGAGCTGCCCGATGAACTGGTCAAGGCTGGTTGGCTCAAGGTCCGCGAGGACGCTGGCCGCAAGGAAGAAAACGAAGAAGTCTTGCAGCGTCTTGAAAAGCTCCGTGCTTACGAATCGGAGGCCAAGGCCGAGGGCAAAGGGCTTTGGGCTGGCACCGGTGGCGTGATCGAGGTCCAGAATGACCTTGGTGGACCTGAATTTATGAATGAGTGGAAGGGAAAGACTGTCGATGGTATAGTTGAACGGGTGCTCAGCGGTGACAGACTCGTTGTGAGGCTCTTGCTCTCAGAGAAGAAGCATGTGCAGCCCATGACCCTCATTGCTGGCATCCGTGCCCCCGCCACTGAGAGAACAAACCCATCCACCGGCACTACCCAACCGGCTGAAGAATTCGGAAACGAGGCTAGGCAGTATGTTGAATCTCGCCTGTTGCAAAGACAAGTCAAGGTTGAGGTTGTCGGCGCCAGCCCTCAAGGCCAGCTGGTTGCCAACATCATTCACCCTCGTGGCAACATTGCCGAGTTCTTACTTCAGGATGGTTTGGCTCGATGCAACGACTTTCATTCGACCATGCTGGGCGAGAAGATGGCAGCGCTCCGATCTGCTGAAAAGCAGGCTCAGTCCAAGAAACTACGACTTCACAAGCACCATGTCGCCAAGGCAGTTGGTGACAACCAGGAGATGACTGTTGCAAAAATCATTGGGGCTGACACCATTATTGTGAAGAACAAGTCTGGGGCAGAGAAGAGAATTAGCTTCAGTAGCATTCGCGGTCCTCGAACCAATGAGGCCAGCGAGAGCCCCTTCAGAGATGAAGCCAAGGAGTTTTTGCGCCAGAAGTTGATTGGGAAGCATGTAAAGATCAGCATTGACGGAAAGAAGCCCGCGACCGAAGGCTTCGAAGCTAAGGAGGTGGCTACAGTAACCGAAAAGGGCAAAAATATTGCCCTGATGTTGGTCGAGGCAGGATGGGCTTCAGTCATTCGACACAGAAAGGATGATACCGACAGAGCCTCTAATTACGACGAGCTCCTGGCAGCTCAAGACAAGGCCAAGGAGGAGCTGAAAGGTATGTGGTCTGGCAAGCCTCAGAAGGCGAAGCAATACACAGACTTGTCGGAGAACGCTCAGAAAGCCAAGATCATGCTCGCCACGCTGCAAAGACAGAAGAAGGTTCCCGCGATTGTTGATTTTTGCAAGGCTGGCTCCAGATTCACTATCCTTGTTCCCCGGGAAAATGTGAAGCTAACGATGGTTCTTGGTGGCATTCGGGTTCCCAGGGCTCCACGGGCCGATGGAGAAGGCGGTGAGCCGTTCGGCAAGGAGGCTCTGGATCTGGCAAACCGACGATGCAACCAGCGAGATTGCGAGGTTGACATTCATGACATGGACAAAGTCGGTGGGTTCATCGGCGCTCTGTACATCAACCGCGAGAACTTTGCCAAGGTATTGGTAGAGGAAGGTCTGGCCTCTGTTCACGCCTACTCTGCGGAGAAGTCTGGCAACTCGACCGAACTGTTTGCCGCCGAGAAGAAGGCCAAGGACTCACGAAAGGGCATGTGGCACGACTATGACCCTTCGCAAGAGGAGACCTATGACAAGGAAGAGGCTGCAGAAGAGGCTCCTGATGAGGCTGAGGTGTCACCAGACAAGAAGTCTACGGACTACCGTGATGTTGTGATCACCAACATCGATGGAAACGGCAAGATCAAGATCCAGGAAATTGGCAAAGGTACTGCCGCTCTGGAGACGATGATGAACGAGTTCCGAAAGTTCCACCTCGACGCCAAGAACAACAAGCCATTGGGTGATGCCCCCAAGACTGGGGACTTTGTTTCCGCCAAGTTCTCCGCGGACGGACAGTGGTACAGAGCTCGAGTCCGCTCCAACGACCGCACTGCCAAGGTGGCTGAAGTGCAATATGTTGACTACGGCAACAGCGAGAAGATTGCCTGGTCCAACCTTCGGTCCCTTGACCAAGGTCAATTCGGTGTTCAGAAGCTTAAGGCTCAGGCCATTGATGCCTCGCTATCCTTTGTACAGCTCCCCACCGGCGCTGACTACTTCGATGAAGCCATCAGCGTCATTGCTGAGATGACGGAGGGCAAGCGACTAGTGGGCAGCTTCGACTTTGTAGACAACAAGGAGAATGTGAGCTACATTACGTTGTACGATGCCAAGACGAACAATGAACTGCCGGGCTTGAACGATTCGATCAATAAGGAGGTCGTTGCCAGCGGCTACGGTATGGTTCCCAAGAAACTGAAGGCTTGGGAGCGAAGCAAGGCATTCGAGCCCTACCTTAAGCACCTTAAAGAGGTTGAGAGCCAGGCCAAACACGATCGTCTGGGCATGTGGGAGTATGGTGACATTACTGAAGATTAGATGGATGACTGGGGTAGTGTGAAAATGTCGGTGGTTCGCATGGACGGGATACTGAGTTGGGGGGAGGCATGATGTAGCGAATACAAAAGTCATGAGGCATAGAGGAGTATTCATTGGAAGACGCTAGTTGGCGTTGTTGAATTGGAATGAAGACGTTGCTTGTGGACGCACATGTTGGGTGCATTCGTGCAAGTCCTTCAGCCGCGTTTCTATTGCATATGGATGTAGGGTTACAGGTAAATAGGTAAAGCACAAGTCTTCAGGTGTGATGACATGCGGTGAGGACAAGTTAATGTCCCTCCCATGGTTATGGTGCGTCCAGGAGAGGAGAGGTACGTGAGGTACGTCATTGGCAAAGAACAAAACGCGCGCATGGGCATGTTTATTCAATGAGACTTGAATTTCAGGGGGACACTCAAGTATTTTTACGTAGGGTCTGGGAGTCGACACCGGCCAGCGGAGTGGGAAGCGCGAGGCTGCGATGGAGGCTCGGGTGGCATCGTGATTTGCGCAACTCGGTCGCCGGTGGAACCGAGAGGGCGGGCCCGGAGCACAGTAAACCGGAAAAGCTGATGATTCAGCAGCGTTGAGCGGGTTAGTCAGCGCCAGAGGTCCACTGGAAGTGCTTGTTGGCCGGCTGCAGCAGACGAGCGGCGACGGATGGCCCATTATTATCCACCCGTTATATCGTCGTGCTGCTCCGCGTCCCGGCTTTCGCCATCTCCTCCGCCTAAAAAGTCACCGTGTCCCACTTCCATTCGACTCTACTTCTTGAATCCGCCCCCTCGTCTCTGATTCCTGTTCTACTCAACAAAAAACTCCTCCTACCGCAAATATCCTCGTTTCACGCAAATTGGCCCATCATGTCCAACTCTCTCGATCAGCTCAAGGCCACGGGCACCGTAAGTCTCGGCAACCACCCCCACCATTTGCCCCTCCTTCTGCGACGCTATCAGGAGCATTTCTCCGGCCCTGTGAATACTTGAGCACTGGGACTCCTAAGAGACTTGAGAATGATTTGCAGTCGCGGATCGAAGCATGTCTCTTTCTCTTTTTCCCTTTCCCGAGAACTGAGAAGACTGACTTTTCTCTGGTCAGGTCGTCGTGTCTGATTCTGGTAAATTCCCGCACGAGCCGACACACCCCCTGACACATCTGGACGTTTAGGCTGACGGTTTTCTTGTGTAGGCGACTTTGCCTGTTAGTAGATCCCATTTCTCGACCAACCGTCCCCTCCCTCTTTTATCTGGCGACTGCAGAAGAAGGAGAATAAGGCTATGCAGCGGCTGTCCGCCTCCTCGAATGTAACAAGCTAACTCACTGCGACAGCCATCGCCAAGTACAAGCCCCAGGATGCGACCACCAACCCTTCACTCATCTTGGCGGCCTCCAAGAAGGCCGAGTACGCCAAGTTGATGGATGTGGCCATCGAGTACGGTAAGCAGAAGGGCGGCGACATCGACTCGCAGGTCGACCACGCTCTGGACCGTCTGCTTGTCGAGTTCGGCAAGGAGATCCTCAAAATTGTTCCCGGAAAGGTCTCTACCGAAGTCGACGCCCGCTTCTCCTTTGATACCAAGGCCTCTGTCAACAAGGCCCTGCACATCATTGACGTGGGAACCATCCCCCCCCCTCTCCCCCAAAACTTCTAATACTGCAAGCATTCTAACTCTTCTTCAACCCCCCAGCTCTACAAGGAGCAAGGCATCTCCAAGGACCGCGTCCTCATCAAGATCGCCTCCACATGGGAGGGCATCAAGGCCGCCGAGATCCTCCAGCGCGACCACGGCATCAACTGCAACCTGACGCTCATGTTCTCGCTGCCCCAGGCCATTGGCGCCGCCGAGGCCAACGCCTACCTCATCTCGCCCTTCGTCGGCCGCATCCTCGACTGGTTCAAAGCCCACAACAAGAAGGAGTACGCAAAGGAGGAAGACCCCGGCGTCGCCTCCGTCAAGAGCATCTACCAGTACTACAAGAAGTTTGGCTACAAGACCGTTGTCATGGGCGCCTCGTTCCGGAACACCGGTGAGATCACCGAGCTCGCTGGCTGCGACTACCTCACCATCTCTGTGCGTGTTTCCACCCCTTGCCTCTCCCTGCACACCCAACAAGGTTGTCTTTGGCTAACCCTTTCCTTCTGCAGCCCAACCTCCTCGAGGAGCTCATGAACAGCTCCGAAGCCGTCCCCAAGAAACTCGACGCCTCACAGGCCGCCTCTGCCAACATTGAGCGCAAGTCGTACCTCAATGACGAGGCTCTCTTCCGATTCGACTTCAACGAGGACCAGATGGCTGTTGAGAAGCTGCGCGAAGGCATCAGCAAGTTTGCTGCTGACGCAGTCACCCTCAAGGATATCCTCAAGCAGAAGCTGGCCTAAGCTTTCATGTGTGCAAAGTTGGCAAAAAAAAAAAAAATTAAGAAAAAAAAAGTGTGAATGTGGACACGTGCGCTCGTGCGTGAGACAGTGGAAGCAGGTACAAGTGGTTAAAAAAAAATTCACGTCATGGTTCAAAAGGAGTTTGGGCTTTGTGAAGTTGTCGTCTTGCAGGCAGATTGATGATTTTATATACCACATACTATACTATCATTTATTGGCGTTTCGAAATGAAGTAGGCCGTGAATCCTGGCGTGCGTGTGTACGTGGACGGCCGCGAGAGCACCCGGGTACTAGTACTACTGCTCAGAGCGCATCAATCTCATGCTCACACAGCCGTAAAAGCGGGTTGACAATTACACTCTATGGTTCAGCGTTCCACTCGGGTGTGGTCTAAGGTAATAAATAAAACTTGGTATCAAAGTAGGGTATCAAAGTTGCAACGTGTAGCTCCATCCTTTCCTCTCGCAGTCCACCTCGGGACAAATCAAACGCAGCGCACACAGCCGTCAGTACGTCGGTTTGTTTCCGGGCCGGGCCGCTTTACACGGGACCTGAACTTTGTCGTAGGAAAAGGTTCCATCGCGCTTCGCCGTGACAATCAGCGCCGTCAACTGGCCGCCGGCGACGCACGCCGAGTCCAGGCCAACAGTGTACCTGCCCTCTCGGAAGCCCCTCTTCGCGTCGTGGCCGTACATGACGGTGCGGCGGTGAGCCTTTTTCACATTCTTTTTCTGGTACTTGTTCCAGGCCTTGTCCCATCTCTCGCCCGAGTGATCGTCGGTGGGTATGGCAATGACTTTGAGCGCCGGCATGGCGTTGCTATCGTCGTCGTCGTCGTCGTCGTCGTCGAGCCGCGTCGGCGCGCTTGCGAGTTTAGCGCGTCGTCTGAGTTCGCCGCCGGGGTATATCAACGTGCGCATGTTCATGACGGCCCAGGGGTCCTGCTCGCCCAGCTTGATGCCGGGCACGAGGCCGCCGTGGACAAAGTACAAGCGCAGGGATGGGCATTTCAGAATGACAGGCAGGCTCTCGAGCCAGGCGACTTGTTCTGGGAGCAGGGTGTCGGCGACCCTGAGGATCTTCTTCTTCTTGCACTTGCGCATGTTGGCCACGACATCTGGGGCCGAGACGAGTGGCGCCGCCGCCGTGCGCTCCTTCAGCGCGACGACGAGACAGTCCTCGTGGTTGCCTCGCACGGCACTCGCGTTCAGGGACATGAGGCGGGAGAGCACGCCGCGGGAGTCAGGGCCCTTGTTGACCATGTCCCCTAGGGCGACGACGTGGTCGGTTGCCGCGTCGTACTTGGCCCGGTCGAGGAGGCTTCCAAGCTCCGTGTTCATGCCGTGTATGTCGCCGATGACGAGGAGGCGGCGGCCGTTCTCGACCGTCGGGACGTGTTGCATGGGCAGGCTGGCTATGAGCGTGAGGTCGTGGAGGCTGGGGGAGCGAGACAGGGTGCTCAGGTGGGGTTTTCCGCTCCTGAACAATACTCCGGCGCTGAGGAGGGTGACGATTGTGATTACCGCCGCACTGGCGAGGCCCGTGGCCAAGAGGGTGACGGGTCTGGACCAGGGATTCTGCATGGTTGCTTTGGCGTTCTTATCCTGGGGACAAAGGACGGGAACGCGGTATCCAATCACAGCGTCTGACGCTTCGGAGTCGTCGAGTGTGTGGCCCATGCATATATATTGCGTTGCGTTGCGTTGCGTCGTCAGGACATGAAGCAGGCCGTGCTCGTGTCTGCCCAGCCGTTGTTGCGCCTGGCTGGGATCAGATGCAGATAGATGGAAGGTGTGGAAATTCCCGCGCTGCAAAGTGGTAGCCGGTGATAACGTACTGCTGTTGAGAAGATAAAGGAAAGAAAAGGAAAGAAAAGAAGTGACTGACTGTGTGACAGGAAGAGGCTGCAAAGAAATAAAAAATAAAAAATAAATGAATGAAAATCAAGTTCCACGACAATGCGACTGGACTTGGGGCTTTTTTCTTCTTTTTTTTTTGTTGTCCAGGCTCCGTCCACTCAAAGCACACGGGCAGGCCACCGAGTTGCCGGTCAGCCCCACCCGAAACAAACTGTCTGGGCAGGATCGACCGGCTGCGAAACAATAAGACGCGTGACAGTGTCACGCGGCACAAGTGTGGCAACAAGTTTTGCTCTTTAGGTTTTGGTGGGAAAGAAGGGCGAGCTGTCAAGCTGTCAAGCTGTCACCAGCCCAACCCGGCCCGTCAATGCCCTCGTGGCGTCGAAAATCAATTACTTTGACTTTTTTCGAGCCGGTCGTGCCGAATGCAGGTGGGCGGATTGATTTGATTCGTCGATGCCGGCTGGATCCTTGTTCCTGCACTACCGCACCGCGAGAGAATTTGCCCAGACCTCGGCGCCTTGGCAATCTTCAACACGGTCACTGACTGGTTGCGTGCCTTGCGCAAGGGTAGGTCTGATGACTCCGTAGTTACCAACGCATTCGGGGCAGTAGCACGCCGTACGCTGAACTAGCAAGTTGCAAGCTCAGAGCTGTCATTCCCGGTAAAACGTGCACCTATGGCTTATGCAGCCATGAGAGAGACAGTCCCAGTCAGTTCCAGTCTCAAAAGTTAACTAGCACCTGCAAAAAGAGTCGATGCTGCCAGATACCAGCCGACGTCGGGCTCAAGGCCGGCCGAGACGCAAAAGAACAAAATCCCCAAATAAAGATGGATCTTGCTCCGAAAGCATCGTGGAACGACTTTTTTGCTCCCGGCAGGGCTTGAACCTGCGGCCTCCGCATCACTAACGCTTATTAGTACGAAGCTCTAACCAACTGAGCTACGGAAGCTTTCGGAGACGATCTGTCGGCCCACCTTCGAGTTTAATCGCAACAAGAAGGTTGTCATCAGTTTCAATAAAATGAAAGGGTCCAGGATCAAAATGTTGTCTGATGAATTAGCGCTTAGCATATGTCCAGATAGTAGCTGAACCAAAGTTCTCATAGTACTTTCTTTCTTTCTCTTCTTGTAGGATATAGGTGCCTTGTAGCAGCAAAATTTTATCATCGAGGATATTTCTGGTATTGCAAAAGGCTGAGAATCGGTATAGTAAATACATCCTAATATGCATGTGCCTTTATCGTACATTTCAATTTAGCCGAGGAAGCCTCAACTCTTGACTCCAAGGGCCCGAGCAGGGTCGTATGTTCGAGACGCGGCACACAGCAATATCCACGTCCAAAAGCAACAACGCTTGACGGAAAGCGGCGCAGAAAGGATACCAGCCAGGTGCGGTGCGCAGCGTGTGCTCGGCACCAGAGCAGATGTAGTACCAGTATCCCTTCTGAGCCGCTCTCTATGAAACCCAGCCACTGGCCGTCCTGCCTAAGTAAAACTCACATAAAACATAGTATCAACGCCCAAAACGCCCCGTTTCCATGCAATGTGAGTGCTCCGTCTCGTCCTCCCTCTCATCTACTCTGCTGCTGCTGCTGCTGCTGCTGAAGCTGCGCCTGCTCCGCGCGGTACTTGTCGTTCTCAATGTCCCTCCAGTCCCGGGGGATCGGCTCATTGCCACTCGTCTCCTTGACGCCGGCTGCAAAGGCCGGCTTGCCGGCATACAGCTGGTATCCCTTGCCTGTCTCGGCGCCCTCCATGGTCTTGTATGTGACGGGCATGTTTCCGCGGAACCGCTTGCGCATGTCGACCAAGCCGCGCTTGCAGTCGCCGTAGCCCTTTTTGAGCTGTTGGCATTTCGTGGGGAGCGTGCTGGCAAGCGGCTCGCGGAGGCAGTCGGATGCTTTGTTGCGCTGGACCATGACGCATTCTGATTCTTGGAGGCATTGCGCCAGCGCGTCACCTGGGGGTTGTTGGTTAGCTTTGCGCCTTGGGCTTCGGGCCATGTGTTGTGGGCGCCGGGGGTTCTTGTGCGGCTTACGCAGCTCTTGACATGAACTCGGCATTTCGGAGGGTTGTGTGGAAAGGTGAAGGACGGAAATTCTGGGTGGCATGTGTCGAAACTTTGTATCGTGGTCGGGATTTCGGACCTGGGGGGGGGGCAAGCTGATTGGACTGAGGGGCTGGGGTCCTGACAAAATTATTTCAGCAGCAAGACTTTAACGGCCTACAAGGTTGGCTCGATGGATCGGGTACTTTGTCCTGGTGATTTCTACAACCCTGCCAAGAATTTCGCGGGATTTTCCATCTTTTGCCACGCCTTCTTGCAGTGCGTAACTATAGTTGTTTTCATTGATATTGTATTCAGGTATCATGGGGACAAGCAGCTAGGCACATGGTCTTGAATCTGTGGTGTAGTTGAGAGGCCGTTTGAGTCGACTCACTCATAAAGTAGCTCACCCACTCCGTCGCGGGTTGCAGCCCTCTGCACAGTCCTACTTAGTAAGGAGCCGAATGCACGACTGTTCTACGGAGTGTGCCTGACCTTGGGGGGACCCTTTGTTTGCAGCTGACCACTCGCAGATGGTGGCTGTCGCATGTGACGTGACATCATTCACTCAAATACGTACGGAGTAGTTATTATTAGTCTATATTTGTCTTGCGATTCTGGGTCAACTTGTAGGTCCACCTCCCCAGAAGTTTGTTTTTGCGAACCGTGCAATTATCGACCGTCCTCGTTTCAAGCAAGCAACCGGCCAACTGTATCAACTCAACCACCGCGACGCCGTTGCTGTGTCATTCACTTGCACTCCTCACATGCTTGGTTATCGTGTCTCGCAACAATGCCTGTCCCATTCATCGGAAGATTGCACCCGTGAGTGACGTCGAATAGCTTCTGCTCATGTCGGCGGATCCCGGCATTACCTGCGCTGACCCCGGTTCTCCCTTCAGCTACGAGTATATTGCCCTCGTTGGATCCTTCTTTTTCGTAGGCCTCGAAGCTGTCATCCGGGTGCTTACGCTGGCCCTGCGTACATTCAGCCCCCCACCCCTGCGGTTGTGCTGCCACGGTTTGCTGACATGTCTCAGCCTCCTTCGTCGTTTCGTTCTTCTACCTCGTTTCGCGACGACTGTTTCACAGATTCACGACCGAGGAGCACAGGAAAGCAGAGAGGAAGAAAAAGAGTAAGTGAGAGATACGCATCGTTGGTCTTTGACGGGCAAAGTTCATTCTTGCAGCAATTTCCACATCTGTCCGCGACGCGTCCGATTTTGTCGAGCTGTGCCGCATTTGGGGGTACGAGGCCGAAGAACATATAGTGCAGACGAAAGATGGCTACCTGTTGGGAATTCACAGGTTGCAATGGCGTCGGGGAGAGGAGGGACAAAAGGTCAATTGCGGACCTGGGAGCACCAAGAAGCGCGTCGTCTATCTGCACCACGGACTTCTCATGAACTCGGAAGTTTGGGTGTGTCTGACGGACGAGCGAAGATGTCTACCTTTTGAGCTGGTCGAGCGTGGTTTCGATGTTTGGGTAAGCCTTTCATTCCTGGACACGGCCAGTGCCTCCTCGTCTGACGGCCCTAGCTTGGGAACAACCGTGGAAACAAGTACTCGAAAAAGTCCATCCATGCGTCGCCGACGACGGTAGAGTTCTGGGACTTTTCCATGGACGAGTTTGCATTTCACGACATCCCCGATACCATATCTTATATTCTGGAGACGACGGAGCAGGAGAGCCTCTCGTACATTGGTTTCTCGCAGGGCACCGCTCAGGCCTTCGCCACGCTGGCCATTCACCCCTTGCTAAACCACAAAGTCAACGTCTTCATTGCCTTGGCACCAGCCATGGCGCCAGCCGGACTGTCCAATGGTATAGTGGATTCTCTGGTCAAAGCCTCGCCCTCGGTGCTCTACCTCATGTTTGGTAGGCGGTCCATTTTGAGTTCTGCCATCATGTGGGAGACCTTGCTGTACCCCCCGATATTCTGCCATGTTATCGACAGAGGGCTGGGGTTTCTGTTCAACTGGAAGACCAAGAACATCTCGGCCAGCCAGAAACTAGCAGCATACCCGCACCTGTACTCCTTCACCAGCACCAAGAGCGTGGTGCACTGGTTTCAGGTGATCCGCAACAAGTGTTTCCAGATGTACGACGACGATGTGCATCAGCCGATGAACGTTGCCACGTCGAGAAAGTACTCCAAGGTGGCCAAGTATCCGACTCGAAATATCCGCACGCCTGTCGTGCTGGTCTACGGCGGCAGCGATTCCCTCGTGGACATCAAGACGATGCTGCGAGAACTCCCTCCTCAGACAGTAGCGACCGAGATCCCACACTACGAGCATCTAGACTTCCTTTGGGCCAGAGACGTCGGTTCTCAAGTCTTCCAGCACGTATTCGACGCTTTGGACAGCTTCACGGATGCGAAACACACTGCAGAGGAATATCATCGGTACCACATGGTGAGAAGCGAAAGCCTGATGGGGTCGGCCTTATCTTTCCTGCATCGTGGGAGCGAGAGCGAAGCATCGACAACGGCGGCTGGGAGTGAGGGGCTGAATGGACAATCGCCTCGGCACATCGCCCGGGAAGCGTCAGCGTTGGGTGAGAACGCGTCAAAGAACCGCATTGTTGGACTTGCGGGTGTTGGTGGCGATAGCACTGACAAGCTCAAGGGTGTAGGTGTCCGAAGAGGAGAGACCAGGAGCGCCAGTCCGTGGCAAGACGTCGGACCGCTGGACAAGACGGACTGATTTGCGACCAGTCAAGTATACTTTCTCATCTCGAGGAGGAGGGCGGAGCGAGGTAAATACGTGGGCGTTCTGAATCAATGTATATGACACGACTGCCATGTACGTACACAAATACCCAGGGAGGCCTTGAAGACGGCGCCTCACCGCAGGGCGTTGCAGCTTGGCTTGTGTTTTACGAAGTGAATACCGTGGCTGTGCCCTGTGCCAACGAATGGAGCGTGGGATACGAGCGAGTCATGATCGGACAATCTTTACAACGAGCCAGATTTAGCTCCTGCGAGGCTCGGCCATGTGAGCATGTTCTCGGCCAAGGGTGTGACGGTTGGTGCCATCAACCACCTGGTCATCAGCCCGAGGTGGAGATGAAGCTACAGCCTGGGATGAAGCGATGAAGCCGGCATGAAACTAAGCTACAAGGTTGCAGCCTTATTGCCGAACAGATGATGGCGACATGGACTCACGTGTATTTTTGGAGACTTAGACGGCTAGAAATATCATGTGTTGTCGGAGGCTCAGCCCTGACATGTAACGTGACGGGCATAAGCCACGCTTTGAATGTTTAGGACGCAATTGCCCATGGCGTACGGGAATCTGATGGCGTCGGGTCTTGGGGTGCCTTTTTATCTTTTCTTCTTTTCCTTTTTTGCATAGGTTCAGTCTATTAATAAAGTGGTGGGGTTTGTCTTGCAATCTGGGCATTTTGGTGTTTTTTGGGGGGCTCATATTTGTACATGTAGCGATAACGTCCCCTGCTTCTCTTATTAGGAAATCTTTATTCTGGACTTTATTTTGGAAGAGTGATGGTAGTAGTAGTAGAAATTACTGATACAAAAAAAGAGAGAAAAAAAAAAAAGACTTGGCTCAACCACAACAACGTCGAACCGCACGGCCGTCGAAGCCGCGCAGATACTGTGCCGGGAGGATCCCAAACCCAGGCTCAGCGACAAGGTGCCCGACGCTGCGTTCCTCGGCATGTTCGCGGCGTCGCTCGTGGGCTGTAGACTGTAGTACACGCTCATGCTGCTCGTGAGCCGGCGCGGCGTGGGCTTCAGCGTGGCACTGATGCTCGGGCTGGGCCGAGTCCTCAGCTGCCGGAACCGCTACATGATGCAGGCGTGCTGCCTCGCCGTCGGGTCGGCCTTCATGGCGGCAGGCCAGAGCAGAGACGAGGATTGTGAGCGCCTCTGGCCGGGAGGGCTCGAGGCCGCCGCCCGAGAGTTACACGCGAAATTGAGGAGCACGCCGTCAATGGCAGGATACAGCGGCAGACAGAAGCGCCTGGGCCCGATGTAAATGTAGCACGCGCACCGGCGCCGCAGGGCGGGCTCGTCAATGATGACGTGGCGGAGCGAGATCTCGTGTCGCCGGGCTGAGCGAGGGCTGGGCTGGACGGGGCCCGTCGGCCTCGAGCTCGAGCGGCGGAGAGACGCGGCGAGGCGGCGAGGGATAGGGATGCCAAGGCGCAAGAAGAACCTGTCTGATGCCGAGGCCAGGCCTGTTGCTGCGGAGCCGTTGATTGTATGCCTCTGCGTGGAGTTGGGATGAAGGAGGACGAGGCAGCCCAGCCCGGCCGGGACTCGGGAGGTTGGTGGGCCTCTGCTATTGGTCAACCGCTTCTTCTTCTTCTTCTTCTTCTTCTTCTTCTTCTTCTTCTTCTTCTTCTTCTTCTTCTTCTTCTTCTTCTTCTTCTTCTTCTTCTTCTTCTTCTTCTTCTTCTTCTTCTTCTTCTTCTTCTTCTTCTTCTTCTTCTTCTTCTTCTTCTTCTTCTTCTTCTTCTTCTTCTTCTTCTTCTTCTTCTTCTTCTTCTTCTTCTTCTTCTTCTTCTTCTTCTTCTTCTTCTTCTTCTTCTTCTTCCTCTTTCCTCGTTCTCCAGAATCCTCTCTCGCCTCCTCTTTCCACCACCCTGAAACAGACGCCTTTCCTTCGTTGCCCTTGCGGCAGGCATGGCGTTTTCACGGCCTCGCCGGGCGCAGGTACATACTACACACACCCAGGCAGTTCGATGGACAACCAGGCTAGTCTCGAGAAACGGAACCGGCTGTGTTCAAAGTCGGCGCCATCACAGCCATACACACAATCTACAACCGATCCCAAGAGGATTGGTCCGACCGGTCAAGTGTGCTGCGTGGTGGCGCGGCCGTGTTGCGTCACCCGTCGAAGTTAAAGCAGCCAACTCTGTTGTATACGACGCCTTGGCTGTGGCACACGAACACCCGCCTGCATAGCACATGGCAGAACCCAATTGGCTTTCCATGTCAGGATATAGCTTGCCCTCTTGACTGAGGGACTGAGAACCCCGAGAGTTCTAGCTTGTCCCACAGCAGGACGCGGGTTGAGCCACGCACCCCAAAGCCGTTACGCCAAGGTACAAGAAGACAGAACATGGTCCAAGGTTCAAGTCGTGGAATCCTGGAACATCAAGAACAATCTAGAACCCAGCCATCGATTTAGCACCAACGATGGACAGGTGCTCAAGAGGGGCCGACGAAGAAAAAATCCCCATACAACCATCTCGGCACCACAACAGCCCGACCGTGGCTGAGCGCGCTTGTTCGTATCTTCTCGCGCCAGACGCATCTATTGATCGATGATACGAGGAATCTAGCCAAGTCGAGCGGCAATGGGCCAATGTCACGTCACATACCGGCAATCACGAGAATGCCACAGCCTGGGCGACTGCCGAAACGCCCGCAACAAGACTGATACGAGACGAGTCTTGAGCTGTGCCCCGAGACAGGCCTTGCCATTGTTGGCTCTGAGAACGAGGACCGACGTCAAGTATAAAGACACAGAATCACGCGGTTGCCTGATTTGAGAGGATCCTGGCTCGCATCTACGAAACCAAATCCAGAACTGTCGTGTACGTGTGTACAGTCTCTGCCCAGGACATTCAACCAACGGACCTTGTCGTCGAACCCATCGCTCTCATCACCGCTCTTCGTCGCTCACAATGCACATTCCGTGGACTCTGTGTGCCGTCCTGGCCGCCCATGCTGTTGGCTTCGCGCGGGCCGCCGAAACCCCGGATACCCCGGATGCCGACGGAGATCATGCTCCCGGCATCTCGACGGGTCATCCTCTCCGGTCTTCCAGCATCTTGACGGGCGTGACCTACAGCACTACCGGCCGTCCTCCCCGGTCTTCCAGTATCTTGACGGGCGAGACCTACAGCACTACCGGTCGTCCTCCCCGGTCTTCCAGCATCTTGACGGGCGTGACCTACAGCACTACTGGTCCTGCTCCCCGGTCTTCCAGCATCTTGACGGGCGTGACCTATAGCACTGGTCATGCTCCCACTTCGTCCACGAGTAACGCGACGGGCGTCACCTCCCAGACCTCTCGCTCCGTGCCGACTCCCACCACCGTCCCTGCCACCAACCCCACAAGCAACGTCGTCCCCGCCGCCGCCGACACCATCGCTCGAAACCCCTTGCTCGCGGCAGGTGTCGCCGTCTTCGTGGTCGCGTTGGCGCTCTAAGCGTCGCACATGGCCCCGACAAACCTGCGGTTACGCCCCGCGCTTCGCCGCAACAGGGACAAGAGAACGGACATTTGCGTGTCGTTCCGGCATCTAGTCGCACTCCAGTGCAGACCAGAGCCTAGGGACCATTAGAACTGCAAAGGCGGCGGACGCCGCATCGCGTGGCAGGAGAATATAGAACACAGCATCACATTGAGCACCTGAAAGTTTGCCCCAAGAGAGAGAGAGAGAGAGAGAGAGAGAGAGAGAGAGAGAGAGACGGAGAGAGTTGATAGATAATAGTTCGCAGCATAATAATTGATCGGACAGTGTTTTTCGACATCTACAGGCTTGCCCTGGATGCATATACGAGCCGTTGGGCACGTGCAACCGTGAACGATTCGCCCTCGCCCTGCGCTGTCACCACGGCCAGAGTTTGTCCAGCCAAACCGCCAGACGGTCGAGGCTGGAGTCCCCTTTTGCTGAGTGATGCTTGACACGTGAAAGGCTGGCGCTTTAGCCCAGCCGTTCATTTGTGTGCTTCTTAAAACTCCCCCGTCTCAAGTCTTCAACGTGAATCGCGTAGCCCCAAGTCCGTGAGTGAAACAATACGACTTTGGCGTTGATTCTTTTGTGCCGACATCCCAGACAAGTGCTTCAGTGGCCCTGTGAGCTGTGCCTCTGTGGTGAGGACTGAGATTCGAGATGAAACCTACGACATGTCGTTCGCTCGTGAAACAGCTGGAAAGAATAGTATTATATTCATGTTTACTGCTGACCCTTCCCCAAGGCTGCAAAAATCTACGGATGCAGGAATCGGGCCCGTATGACAGCAAATACCAGCCGCCTCACAGGCGCGTGCAAACAACTTTTCCCAAGTTTCTCGCCCCAACGGGTTTCGCCAACAAGAGACCCGTTCAAGCTTACTGGGAAATACGCTGGTTCGACCACATCTTCTGAGCAGCAGAGACAATGATCAAGGTTCGAGAGGTTATCGCAAACTTATTACGTCCCAGTAAAACGCCGAGTAGTGTGCATCATGCAACCTTGCGTGAAATAAAGCATTACGATGGCGCCATCATCAAGTGGCACAGGGCATGTTAATGCGTTGGTTTGCGCCGACCGAATGCCGCTGGAAGAATGATACTTGGGATGTGAACATGGGCAAGTGCCCGGATATGCTTACAGAATAGGAAATGGAGGATATATGTGCATGTGTCATCGTACCAATGGCTTGGTCAGGCCTGGCTAGAGATTGACGCTACCCAACGGTAGAATTTTGGTCCTGTCCCCAAGGAATCTGGCCCGGAAATCGATGATCCCTTGGCCAACAGTGTTGAAATCTTTGACTTTGCGGCGTCGAAAGTCGGTTAGAAGCTGAGTTAGACCAGCAATGTACTTTTGCCTCTGCTCCTCGCCGTAATGGTCAGCTGCTCCTAGTTGAAGCAGGATCTGGTCATCTGTCCAGTTTGGGCTGTCAGTGCCCAACTCGAATCATAACGCTCCTCGCCACGTTGGTTAGCCATCCAGGGAAAATCAACTCACCCGGAGCTTGCATCGTGTCAAAGTGCTGAAAGTCGCATTGACTTCCTCTAGGACATTTCTGTCCCGCCAGATCATCAGGGCAAAGTTCCTTCTTCACGTCGATTTCGTTACTGTAGGTTAATGACCGCAATCCACCTGCCACATCTCTGTTGAACGAGGGGTGAAATCGATACGCATGGAAGTACTGCAGTGGTGTTTCGTAGGGAACAAAGCTAGTCTTTGAAGTGACAGGCTCGCCAGGTTCAGTTGTCGAAGCTGGCTCTGGCAAGTCAAAGCCACTTGAGAAAGTAGGGCCAGCATCTGATGTGACTGGGCCGGCTTTCGGGACGTCCTCAGCCTGCGATAACATAGCACAGCCTTGCTCTAGAAGATCATGGTTGCTTGCCACTGCGCTTGCTGCTGAAGACGTGTTAGCCTCTGGTGGCTCATAGTCTTCTTCGAAATTCTCTTCGACGTCTTCGTCTGCAGAGTAGCCTGCATCTTCCATATCCACATCCTCGGGGCTGTCCGAATGCACAGGGGAGGCTTGGGAGCTCCGGACCGGCGCCTCAGTTGCTGGGCAGGTCATGGGGCTCATATCATTCGCTTCAGGCGGAGTCGTCGTGCTCACAACGCCCTCATTGCCAGCGTCCGACGAACCAACGCCGGCGGTAGGTTCGATTGCGACAGGCAACCCACGAGATGGAAGTGACTGTTCGCCAACAACATCCTCTACATCATCAGGTTGTTCCGGTTTAAACGGCTCTGATGGGCTTTCAGAAGTCGAGTTTTGCCTAGATGCAGATACTTTTTCTTGCTCTTATCATCCTAATTAGTGCTATTTGCCGCAAGGCAATTTGGGTGCATCAACGTACCAGAGCTGGATCGTTCAACTGGAGCGGCAGTCTCCACCTCTTTGTCCGACTCTGAGGTCAAAAGTTCTCCTTTTAGCCTCTCTTCTTCAAGCATATCTTCTTCCAACTCTTGTTCGATTCTCGCGATTTCGAACTGGAGGGCCTTGAGCTTCAGTCGTTGCTTTCTGCGTCGAGATTCAATCAAAGGTAGGCGTTCACTTGCGGCGCGAGACTGCGAGCGCCGTTCATTGCCTGGCCCCCGAGCTGCCCTTGGCCTGTGTCCCAACTCGCCGTAAGATCGTGAAAGTGCTGCCGGTCGACTGGTGGTATCGGAAGCATCCTCGACAGGACTGTCATTCGGCTGATAGAGTGCAGGAGAGCCTTGTCGTGAGTCCTTGGCCTTCTTACGGGCCTCAGCCTCGGCAATCTTTCTCTTCATCTCTTCTATCTGCTTATTCATACTTTCCAAGTCGCTGCCATTATTTCGGCTTGCGCTCCTCAGCGGCGTTGAGGCTGATGCAGGACTCCTCACTTGTCGCGTTGTGGAGGAATCGGCCGCGGCCTGTGCGTTTCGCAGTGAATCATACTGTTGATTTGGCGTGTTGGGCATATCTGGAGGAGTCTCTGTTTGACTTGCAGAGTCAATGTCCATTTCCTGCTCGTCATCGTCCCCTTCCCCCTCGCTGACGTCAATCAGAAATGGTCGAGACTCCGTTTTCTGATCAAAGGCTGGGGCCGATCGGACATGGCTTAGATCTGCGACCTGGAGAGTCGCCGTAGATTGCTGCAGAGCCGGAGGTAACTCTGAGCCTTGTTTGCTTGGTGACCATGACAGCCCTGGGATAATACTTGGCAAAGCATCGTTTTGGGGAGCGCTGAAAGATTTATCATGACCTCTAGTCCGAAAAGGTGCCTCTGGAGTCGAATCGCGCTTCCGGAAATCTCTCTCGTCTGGCTGAGTGGAATTTCGTTGCGTGACGGCTTCTCTTGCTTTTTTGAGAGCATCCATTTTCTGCTGTAACAACCTAGACTTTTCTGACTGACTCAATGTTGGCTTGGCACTCGTAGCCATCGACTTTGTACTTTTTGGAATAACCGTGTCATCGGCTGGTGTTGACGCGGGCGTGGAGCTTTGTTTTGACCCTTTGGCAGCAAGCAGACGGGCGATTCGATCCTTCCGGGATTCGGATGGATCGACGACAGCAGATTTTGGAGGATTTCTCTTGCCGACGTCCAGTGCCTTCGGACTACTGGTCTCCTCTGTCACCTTTGACGTTGCAGACTTCTTCTCTTCTGGCTTTGATGTGACGGTTGTAGTCTCAGGGATCTTGAGACCTAAATCTTCGAAGAGCGATTTCAGAAGCTCTTCGTCAATACCTTCCATAATGTAGTTCTGGAACGTTATGTGAAGTGGCAATAATCGAAGAATGGCATCCTTTGCCTGCTTTTTAGAAGCTTCCAGATCCAAACGATTCATGGACTTGCTTTGACTGGTATTGGGGGGCACAAATTCCGGGATATCGATAGGCGCTGAAGATAAAATCTCGCTCGCGTTAGGTCTATTGTCTGTTGCACTAGTTAGGAGACGATACAACACAGTTTGCATCGCATATTTACAAGTACCTGCGTTATGGTTCAACAGACTATCTCCGGGCTGTGAGATTTCATGAGGCGATAAATAAGGCGAATACGAACCTGACCGTTCACGGCCATCGTTTGACTGGCAAAGGGCTTGTCCTTGCTGGTGCGTTTGCTTTGTAACAGTCGCATCTTGTTGAGTTTCCATCGGCTCGTAAACATCCTCAAGCTCGCCTTCTTCTAATGTGCCTGTTGGTTTTTCATGAAGGCCTGGTATATTCGTCACGGGATGGGTTTTCGACGAGGACTGCGTAGTTGTTTTGTAACTTTGCTGGGATGAAGACTGTACCTGCCAGCTTGGCAGTTGCCCATTCGACCAAGAACCGTGCTGTGTTGAACTGACAGTATGTGCACTTAACCCCAAGCCGGGGATCAGATTGGGTCCATAACTAGGGCCAGATACGCTTTCTCGTGCAGATGGGTGGCCTTGCGAGGCACCAATCAAAGCGTTCAGTGTAGGAGCATAGGTAGACTCCGTTGTATGCGGCGAGCCTTGATGGAGGCTATAACCATCCGGCAGACCGTACCCGTATCCAGGCTGGTTCATCTTCCGGTAGAACTACACATACCCCTGTATTGTGCGACTCTTCTGCGACGGTTCAAACCTTGGGATGGATTCCGAAGAGATTGACCGCCGTCCGCGCGAGGGTTGACTGAGTGAAGGCGTCGCCGAGTTATGGTACTGGAACAGTTGGAAGAGGTGGCGACCCCAATGTGCCGAAAAAAAGAACGAGTCAGAGGCTGCTGGACGTGTCTTGATGATGGAAAGAAATAAAAATCTCGTGAAAGACACGAAGCGCACTCTACGCAGTCTTGTTGCGCTGCGGCAAACTCAGTATATTTTTTTTGCAGGTTGAGTTCGGCGATTGTAGGTCTCCGCGCTGATGGAACGCTAGTTTCTGGTTGGATGTGGCCCCACATGCAACCACGCGCTCGCCGAGAGAGAAATAAGTCACGTGCTCCGATTTGTTTACTTGGGAGGGGTCTCGCCCCAGCAACGGCAGTTGTATAACATGTCATTCTAGACTAGCAAGCTGGACAATGAATCCATTTACGCCATTGCAAGCCCGTATCTACTTGCTCACAGCGCGCCGGTGCTTTTAGTTGTTCTTTTTATCCTTGGATCAACACCCTCTGCGGTGGATCCGTATTATTACACTCACTTTTCACTTCTTTTCTTGCGGCCGGGGATTTGTTTACGCGCGCATGCTTGTGGAGGCTGAGGAGGAATATCGATACACATCAACAAAGCTGAGGTTGATGGTTCTTACTGACAATGGCCTTCAATCTGAATAATGGGGCAAATCGCCGTAGCAATCCCTTTGCTCGAACAGGATCTCCCTCACCCTCATCGCCAGTGCCCCTCAATGGTGGCAGACCAAAATCTGCCTTGTTTTCCTCGCCGCCACAGCCGAGTGTGTCAACACCGCCGTCACATGGCCGGTCGCAGTCCAACAGTTCATGTGGAGCAACATTGGCCGCGACAGGAAACGCAATCAAACACCAGAGGAACGAATCGAGAAATGGAACTCCCACTTCGAGTACGTTTGCACCCTCGTTCATCAAGTCGGAGGAGATGAGACGCGAACATGACGCAGTGAAGGGCATCGAAGGAGAGAATGACTTCTCTGGTAAACGTTATGTATGGGTTAGAGATTCACAACACGCATTTATCAAGGGATGGGTGGTGGAAGAACTGGGCAATGGCCGCATTTTGGTACAAACAGATGATGGAACTGTCAGTATATGGATCATTCCATGGCTGGGGAAGTAGCTAACTGAATAACAGCAACGGGAACTGGACGCCGAAAGCGTCGACAAAGTTAATCCTGCCAAGTTCGATAAGGCAAACGATATGGCCGAGTTGACCCATTTGAACGAGGCTTCGGTCGTCCACAATCTTAAAATGAGATACCAGTCGGACTTGATCTACACATACTCTGGGCTCTTCCTCGTCACGGTTAATCCCTATTGCCCGTTACCCATTTATACCAATGAGTATATCAACATGTACAAAGGGAGAAGTCGCGAAGATACCAAGCCGCACATCTTCGCCATGGCGGACGAAGCTTTTAGAAACTTGGTTGAAGAAGGCCGAAATCAGAGCATCCTGGTAACAGGCGAATCTGGCGCCGGAAAAACAGAAAATACCAAGAAGGTCATCCAGTACCTTGCGGCCGTGGCCCCGTCCGAGACTTCTGTACGAAGCAAATCGCAACACACCAATCTCTCGCAGCAAATTCTCCGAGCAAACCCGATCTTGGAGTCGTTTGGAAATGCACAAACAGTTCGAAATCATAACTCTTCCAGGTTCGGGAAGTTCATTCGCATTGAGTTTAACAGAAATGGTGCTATTGCTGGGGCATTCATAGATTGGTACCTCCTCGAGAAATCGAGAGTTGTTCACATCAACCCTCACGAGCGGAACTACCACATATTTTACCAGCTTTTGAAGGGCGCCAGCAATCGAATCAAGAGCTGCTTACTCCTGAGTGGACTGGATACCCAGAACTTCGCGTACACAAGGCACGGCCACGATATGATTGTGGGCGTGTCCGATAAAGCAGAATGGGACTCGTTGATGGAAGCGTTCGATGTCATGGGCTTCTCTGACGATGAGCAAATATCAATTCTTCGTACAGTGGCGTCAGTGCTGCACTTGGGAAACATCGAGGTCGTCAAAGAAAGCCGCGCGGCAGACCAGGCACGGTTGACACCGGAATCAAAACAGGTGGTGGCAACTGTGTGCAAGCTTCTCGGTGTGCCAGTAGATCCGTTCATCCAAGGATTGCTGCACCCAAAGGTCAAGGCCGGGCGGGAATGGGTTGAGAAGGTCCAAACCCCGGAACAAGTGCGACTTAGTCTGGATGCCTTGTCCAAAGGCATCTATGAACGAGGATTTGGCGATCTCGTTTCCAGAATCAATCGCCAGCTAGACAGAACAGGCATGGGACTTGATGATTCGCACTTTATAGGTGTCCTCGATATTGCTGGATTCGAAATCTTTGAGGAGAATAGCTTCGAACAGCTATGCATCAACTACACCAATGAGAAACTCCAGCAATTCTTCAATCATCACATGTTTGTTCTCGAACAGGAGGAGTATGCACGCGAACAAATCGAATGGCAGTTTATTGACTTTGGCCGAGACTTGCAGCCGACAATTGACCTCATTGAGCTGCCAAACCCAATCGGTATCTTTTCATGTCTGGACGAGGATTGTGTTATGCCAAAGGCAACGGATAAGACGTTCACGGAGAAGTTGCACTCGCTTTGGGATAAGAAATCTACCAAATACCAACCCTCTCGCCTTGGACACGGCTTCGTCCTCACACATTACGCTGCCGAAGTGGAATATTCCACCGAGGGCTGGCTGGAGAAGAACAAAGACCCGCTGAACGATAATATCACACGTCTGCTTGCCTCTTCGTCCGACAAACATGTTGCCGACATATTCTCCGACTGCGCTGCAACCGATGAGGATGTTGGTGGCAGCCGAAGCCGAGTGAAGAAGGGGCTGTTTCGCACGGTTGCCCAGAGACACAAGGAGCAGCTTCACAGCTTAATGACACAACTTCACTCAACACACCCTCACTTTGTGCGATGTATTCTACCCAACCACAAGAAGCGTCCCAAGCAGTTCAACAATCTTCTCGTTCTCGATCAGCTCCGGTGCAACGGAGTTCTGGAAGGTATCCGAATTGCTCGAACAGGGTTTCCCAACAGACTTTCCTTCACGGAGTTCCGCCAGCGATACGAAGTTCTCTGCTCAAATATGCCCACGGGATATCTTGAAGGCCAAGCTGCGGCGACAATCATGCTGGGGAAGCTCAGTCTCGACAAGACACTGTATCGCGTAGGTCTTACCAAGGTGTTCTTCCGAGCAGGCGTCCTTGCAGAGTTGGAAGAACAGCGCGACGCCCTGATCACGGAGATCATGGCCAGGTTTCAGTCTGTTGCCAGGGGCTTCATCCAACGACGTGCCGCATACAAGAGGCTTTTCCGAACCGAAGCTACGAGAATTATTCAAAGAAATTTCAACATGTACCTGCACCTGGTAGAAAACCCGTGGTGGCAGCTGATTGTAAAGATGAAGCCATTGCTGGGAGCCACTCGCACTGCAACTGAAGTTAAGAAGCGTGATGCCATGATCAAGCAACTTAATGAGAAGATGCGACTTGACGAAAAGGTGCGGCAGAAGTTGGAAGATGACCGTCGCAATATCCATACGGAGATGGTTCGAATCCAGCAAACTCTAGAGAGCGAGCGCGCACTTGCATTGGACAAGGAAGAGATCTTCAAACGACTTCAGACCCGGGAAGCTGAGCTCGAAGAGAAACTTTCTGGTGCCCTCGACGACCAGGAGAGATTGGAGGACCAACTTGACGAGCTCATGGAAGCCAAAAGTCGAGCTGAGCAAGACGTCGAAAAATTCCGGCTTCAACTCGAACAAGCGGCAGGGCTTATCGCTAAGCTCGAGGAAGAAAAAAGCAAATTGTCAACAAAGTCTGCGGAATTGGAAGACGCAGTCAAGGAAATCTCACGGAAGCAATCCGAGCGAAGCGAGCAGGAGGCAGCTCTCGCCGACGAGATCAGGGTTCTTCAAAGCCAACTGAGTCTCAAAGATCGCAAGGTGCAAGACTTGGAAGGCAAACTGCTTCAGCTGGACCAGGACACGGAAGTGAAGTTGCGTACAGCCCAGAAGGAAACTGATGCGGCCAAGTTGCGAGAATCCCGTATGAGCCAGGAGAATAAGGATGTGAAACTTCAACTGTCCCAACTTTCCAAGACTTCAACCGATTATGAAGACTTGGTGAGAAGCAAGGAGAGCGAGCTAGCTCTCCTCCGCAGCGACAAGGGGAAGTTTGAGACTGAGCGACGCACTCTGGAAGACCAGAAGAAGGCGCTGACGGAGGAGAAGAACAAAATATTGAGCAGGTCTCACAATGTTCAAGCCGAGTTGGATGCAATGAGATCTAAGCACTCTCAACTTGAGCGCGAGGCCAAGGAGGCCAAAACGCTGCTTGCCGCCAGGCTCTCGGAAGATGCCCAGGCAGACAAAAACAGATCACTGCTAGAGGCTCAAATCAAGGACCTCAAAGAAGAACTTTACACAACTCAAATGGATCTAAGCCGAGAACAACAGTCGCGCGACGATGTTCTGCTCCTCGGGCAACACAAGTATCAAAGTCTCAAGGAGGAGTATGACAGCTTGAATGAAGCAAAGATTGTGATTGAAAAAGAACTCTACGTTCAGCAGGACACTTTGCGAAGGGCCATGGAAGCCCGCACCGCAGTCGAGAGGGAGCGAGACGAGGCACGAGATGAAATCCGACGACTGCGGGTGGCCAAAACGCAGGCCGAAGAGGCCCGCGTGCAAGCTGAAATCTCTGGCGAGCGTCAGGCCTCCAAGATGGCCCGAGAACGAGAGGCCAGCCTGCGGAAGGATCTGGATGCCGCACACGATCGGTTGCGGTGGTTTGAAGATGAGTGCGCCAAACTCAACCGCCAAATCGAGGACCTTAACAAACTTATTGCATCTTCGGGCGAGTTCGGGCTGAAAAATGACCAAGCAAAGGAGCGGATGGAACGAGAGCTCAGCACTGTCAAGAGCCGACTGACTGCTTCTGAAAATGACAACAGGGCTCTTCTCAATAAGCTTCAGCAAAAGGGGCTCGAGATCGCCAGGTCAACCTCGCGTGCCAATGAGGCATCTCGGGGCCATGTCATGAGTCTGCAGAAGGAGAAGTCGAGACTAGAAGAACAAAATGCCAATCTGAACAGGCAACTTGGCGATGCCCAGGTAACGATTGCAACTTTGGAGAAGAAGGCGGAAAAGCTTCAACTCAGTCTCGAAGACCTCAACCATGAGGTTGCTCGGGAAGTGCAGTCGAGCAGAAATGCCGAAAAGGCTTCCTCAAACTTCACGGTTCAGCTTGCAGAGGCCAACAGAACAATTGAGGCCGAACGGCAGCTGCGCGCGCAGTCACAAGCAACTGTTCGTACGCTCCAGGCTACTATCGATTCCCGAGACAAGGAGCTCCAAGAGCTACGCGGACAGATTCTCAACGCCCTGAGGTCCGTCGACCCGGAAATTCGGATCCCTCCCCCGTCAGACGACAGCAACCAGAGGGCCGTTCTCAAGAACTTTGATCTGGCACGCAGGGTGGAGGAGCTTCAACAGAACCTCCGAGTTCAGTCAGCGGCCAGGACCAACGCAGAGAATCAACTCGCAGATCTCCGTGCGGCAAGGCATGAGAGCCCAGGCCGACCCAAGTTGGAAGAGATTCACCTTAATGAGGCACCCTTTAACGGTTCCCCTACCCAACGACGAGCTGCCAAGATCAACGCCCGCCGCTTCTCAAATACCTCGACACCCAAAAGGATCAACCAGGAAGTCACCGAGCAACACGACACAGCCCGCTCAGACAAGACGGTAGACACGTTGGCCGTCAACAATCGCATGGACTTGAAGGCCGAAGTTGAAGAGCTTCAGAACCAGCTTCAGATTGCTCAGATGCAGAACCGCCACCTTCAAAGCCAGGTTGATCGTAGCACCCCTGGTGCAGACTCCTATAACGACCAAAGCCCGTCTCTACGCCGGATGCAGAAGCTTGAAAAGGTCAACAGCAAGCTGCATGATATGCTCGATGACTCAGCGAAGAAGGTGTCTGCTCTCGAAAAGAACATCCGCACAGGCGAGCTATCGCTACGTGATGTACAGGCCAGATCGCATGAAGAAATCCTGCATGTGTTTAACAGTCAGGAGGAGTCTCGACGCGCGCTTTTGCACAGCCATAAGGACGCTGTGGCTGAACTGACAGAGGTAAAATGCCACTTCGACAAGATGCGCCACGAGAGAGCGAAACTCGAGGTTGAGCTGCGTGACACCAAGTCCGACTTGCAGGAGATGACGATGGCTCGCGAGCAGGAGGCACAGAGCCGCAGCCAGCTTCTACAGGAGTACACTGAGCTTCAGATACGGCTCGATGCCGAGTCTTCCAAGCTGGCCGATGTGTCGGGCGGCCTTGAGATGTACAAGAGCCGGGCGGACGAGTACTTTGGCAAGCTTGAACAGGCAGAAATCGCAGTGCTCAAGGCCAGCCGAGCTGAACAATTCGCCAAGTCACAAGCAAAGGAATCAGAAGACATTTGCAGCGAGGTCATGGCAGAGCGACAAAAAATGGATGCCACGATTGAGGACTTGCAGCGCCAGAACCAGCGTCTAGAAGAGCGTATCGAGGACATTTCCACCGATCTCGAGTCCGTCACGCAAGCCAAGAAGAGGCTTCAGCACGAGCTCGAGGACTACCGCAGCCAGCGTGCCATGGACATTGAGGACAAGGAATCGAGCATGGAGCAGACAAGAAAGAAGTATCAGGCCGAGTTTACCACCCTGACCAAAGAACTCGACCTCGCACGCGAAGAAAAGCTGTACAAGCAGGCCGAGATTGCACGGCTTCGCGAAGAGCTGGACGAACTACGTTCGAAGTGGGATGATGAGGTCCTCAACAGCTCTACCTGGTCCAAGGAGAAGTCTCGCCTCGAAACCACGCTTGCCGACGTTGCCTCGTCTCGCGACGAAGCCGTCAACGCTCACAACGAAGCCCAGGGCAAGGTCGTATCCCTCCTGTCTCAAGTACGGGCATTGCGATCTTCAGTCGACGAGGTCACCTCTGAGCGCGACCTCTTGCTGCGCGAGAAGCGAAATGTGGAGGCTCGGCTTGCCGAGGCCAAGGCTGGGCTCGAAGAGCTCGTGAAGGGCGAAAGCCCGTCTCTGCGCGATGCGGCGACAATGGACAAGGAAGTCTTGGAATTGAAGTCTAGCCTTGCTCAGCAAGAAGATGTCGCAGTGGCTGCGGTGGAGAAAATGAGGCGTGCAGAAGCACTGGTTTCCGATGTCCAAAAGGAGATTGCAGCCGAGCGCGAAGCCAGCACCGAGTTGCAGAAGCAAAAGGCTGTCCTAGAAAAGAGCCTGAATGAAGCCCAGCTGAAACTGATCGACCTGGAGACGAAGGGCTTTTCCAGTGCGAGCCAAGATATCAAGTTTTTGCACAAGCGTATTCAGGAGGTAAGCCCTCTTCCCTCTCCACGGATTTCCGTCTCACTCCCTCGCTCCGTACGCTGTACTGATAGAAATTAAAGCTCGAATCTCAACTGGAGGACCACGAGACAGCGAGGTCCAAGTCGCAGCGATCAAACCGAAACATTGACCGCACCGTCAAGGACCTTCAGTCGCAAGTTGAACGCAAGGAGAAGCAGAACACGCAGCTGTCGGAAGATGTGAACCGCATGCGCGACAGGGTTGACAAGCTTCTCAAGACGATTGACGAACTCCAAGCGTCCGAGTCGACCACGCAGCTTTCGGCAAGACGAGCCGAGCGAGAGCTTCGAGAAGAAAGGGAGAAGGCTCTCCGTTTGGAAAAGGAGCTTGAAGGGTGGAAAGGCCTAAGGTCAGAAAGGGGCTCTGCTGTTGGGAGCCTTCGCGGGCGTCTCGAGGGACCCGATGTGCCCCAAAGATCGAGCAGTATTAACAGGCAACCTAGTCTCACCAAAGGATTCATTTGATGAGAGAAGGGGGAGACGGGCCGAGGCATTTTTTTTTTTTCAGCGGGCGTTTGTGTGAATTGATTCTGGGATCAGATGGCACCACACCACTGGCGACTGGGAAGGGCTAGGGTAGGAGGTTAATGACTTGCATGTCAAAACATGGTCATCGTGGGTTACGCAGCACAGGGTCATATGATTGAAGGTACATAGTTTAATGATCTCATCGTCACTGCACTGGGTGGCTTGCGTCATCTTTTGCTCCACGTGCGGGCGTCGAAGTTTGTCTCGTCGCCGCATGCGGCATGCGGACAAGGGAGTAGGACTCGAGCTTGAATCGATGGTCACTCTAGAGGCTTTGATTGTACGGAGCGTTGCAGACAAATGGACTGCCCCGACCTTGATTGGCCTTGTTATCGATCGACGGTGCTTTTGGAAGACGATTGATCGATCAATCACTGACAGGGATGTGAGTCCACCCTTGCTTGGCCTTGGCCTGGGCCTTTTTTGTTGATGGATTCGAGGTGTGGTGAGCAGACGGATAGACGGATAGTGCGGATGACAAGAACAAGAGGAACGACAACAAGAAGAACACGATGGATGACAGACAGACAACAAACAAGACGACCGACCGGAGGAGCAAAAATGAAAATCAAGGGCATCCGGTCAACGCGGAGCAAAAGGAGCGGGTCTGGCCGGGGATTGAACCCGGGACCTCTCGCAGCCATGCTTCAGGGTTATCCCTAAGCGAGAATCATACCACTAGACCACCAGACCACTAAGAGCTGGAGGGCCCAGCTATTTCCGCTGGCATGGGAGCGGGCTATTCCACATTATACTCTGTACGCGGTGGCTGAGCGCCGTGTGAGGGGCGCGGGAGACATGGACTGGGGAGTCGGGATCTAGCACGACGCTGCGCGGGGATCCGCAGCTCGAGGTGTCAAAAGCGTCAAAAAAGTCCAAGACTCAGCTGGCAACGTGCTTTGTGTCAGTGTCGGGCCGAACGCCGTTTATTTGGACCGGCGGTTGGTGCATGTCCTGCCTGCCTGCATCGACTCTACATGTGCCGCCCGCCCTGGCCCACGTCGCTGCCCTTCTTCAGGCCCTGGCTCTGGCCACCGCTTGCGTTCGCATCCTTGAGCCCGGCACCGTGTTCCTCGAGACCTTCGGGCAGGGGCGCCGTCTTGTCGGCCCTCGGGACCTTGGACGTCTGCGTCGCCGCGGCGCACGGGGCAGGTTAGTTGGCATGCGTGCCGGGAGGGAGAGGGGACACGTACGTCGGCGGGTCCCACGCCGTGGGCGATGCCGTGGCCGAACTTGTCAAAGGGGCCGTTGTGGCTGGAGCCGTCTCCGGGGCGAGGCATGGTGCGCGCGAATGCTGGCAGGGTCGATGACGTCGACGTGTCGTGTGTCGCGTGTACGCAGTGTTGGGGTGTGAGGGATTCGGAGTGCGTCAAGGGACTTGCGGTTGCTCCGTTTGACGACGTGGTTCGACGCATCGGCCGGCGGCGCAGATGAGTCGCTGCCCATTTTATATACCGTGAGTCGTCGCCCGGCGCCGCTGGCGACGACGTCATCGTCCGTTGCACTGACGGGCCGTGGTGGCGTCACCTGGTACGCCGTGGCGATTGCGTCGGAGCAAACCCTCCAACCGTCCGGCGCGCCAGACCCATGCTTGAGAAAGCCAGTTTTCTGGTTCCTTTGTCGGCGTGGTTTACCATCCCTCGCGGGCACAGCTAGTGGCAGCAGCGAACGGGCAGCAGCGAACGTAATCGGTCTGATCAAAAAGTGGTCTAAGTAATGCGAATCCGTCGGCTGCCTCCTCCTCCTCTCCTCCTCGTTGGTGCCGCCCATGCCCGCGCCTCTGCTAGCCCAAGGACGCTGCTAAAGCCACGGCGCTAAACCTCAAATCGCGGCCCTCCCTCTCCAGAAACTTCAAGATGCCCAGACTCAGCGCGCGCTCACTCAGCATGTCCTCGTTGTCCTGCAGCTCCCCCCTCCGGATGGGGCCCTTGCGACGTCCGTCCAGCTCCCACAACGCGCCGTCGCCGCCCTTGACGAAGCACACGTAGTGCAGGTCCACGTCGTCCTGGGCGTCGGGTGCGGCCGTGTCTCCCACCGAGGCGGCCTCCTTGTGAGCAGCCGCGACGGCCGGCGTCTTCTCGAGGAGGGACGCTCGTTCACGTGGGGGCAGGGGAATGGACTTTCGGACGAGTTCGTCTAGCGTTGTGCCCTGCTCTGAGCGACACGACTGTTAGCAGCGGCGGCGGGGGCGGCGGCGGGAGACGAAATGGGGCCAGGATGGGCTCACCGATAAACTTCCTTGCAGGGCCATTTGACACGGCGTGCAGCAGGCCCATCATGCCGCATGCGTTGCGGATGGTCTGCTTCCACCAGATGACGGGCTCCGGCTCCCCGGCTCCCCTGTACTCGTCGAGGGTGTTGTCCTCTGCCATGCGGTGGCTTTCGTAGACCGTGCTTACGGGGAACACGAGGAGCAGAGAGAGCGCCGGACGAGGGATGAACGCGAGCATGTCTGGGTCGGTGAGGGAGTAGACGTCGTGAAGCTGGAGGGCCGGCGAGACTCCCAGCGTGTGGATGAGCTTGGTCATGAGCTCCGGGTTGGCCTCGAGCGGGATGAAGGCCGGCGCGCCCGGCTCTGGGTCTGGATTTGTCGTGGCGGACATGATGTCGACTGCTGGGGGGTTGTCGGCCTGCCGAAAGGATGATGGAAGGTCGCGGCGGGAGGTCCAAGTTTGCTGTCTTGACTTCTTGACCTCCGGCGGGCGGCACGACGCGGTGGGGAAACTCGGCACCACCTGGCGAACCCAGAATGCCAGATGCCGCCAGCTGGCGAGTTGCCACGCACGCCAGCCCAATTCAGGTGCCGTCAATGACAATATTTTATCCACTTATGCCGCCGCTAGTCATGTCGTTACGCCGTTGTAAGCAAGACGCAGTGTTTCATCACCATCATCAATTATTCCCATACATGTATGTATATGTACATAGACCACATCGTCTGCCCAAACTGATGATAACAGCCAACGACTTTGGAGCCAACTCCACCACCGGCAGCCTCTGACCGCCGCACACGGTAGAACAAAAGGAACTTCCAGCCACGTCATATGCTTTGACAGGCAGCAGAGGCGTGAGATTAAGCCTTGCTCGAGCGACTGACTCGACGTGCCCTCGCCTTTGGTACAGGCTTCTCATCGGCCGACTCGTCAGCCGTTACCTTTGTGCCCGATCTGCGACTCAACTTTCCTGTCGCCCTGGCGTCACCGGCTTTGGTCGCCTTTGGTGTGGCCTTGGGCTTCTTAGCCGACACTGGGACTTCCTCTTCTTCCTCACTCTCATTTTTGACGGCTGCCTTCCTGCCCCGTGAGGCCTTGGTGGCCGCAACCTTGGATTTTTTAGTAGACACCGGCCCCTCCTCCTCCTCCTCGCTGTCGCTCTCTTTCTTCACAGCTGCCTTCTTGCCGCGGGGAGCCTTTGCTGGGGGAGTTTTCTCGACCTTTGCTGCCTTTGCCGACTTGGACTTTTTGGCCTTGGGTGCGTCGTCTTCGTCTTCGTCGTCGGCATCCTTCTTGCGTCCGCGCTTGGCTGTCTTTTTGGCCGGTTGAGCATCCTCGGAGGCCTAATGCATCATTAGATCCGAAACAATGTCTTAGGACAGTCCGGGTGCCTACCTCTTCATCCTCGGTAGCCTCAGCGGCAGCCTTCTCTTTGGCAGCCTTCTGCTTGGCAGTCAGGTGAATGCCCTTTTCGCCCAATTTGTTCTTCTCAGGATCCTTCGTCACGCCAGTTAGCAAGCTCCTCATCCGGCCTGCGGGGGTTCGGAGAGCATACACCCTTGAAGTCTTCGGGATCAATAAAGCCCTGCTTCATGCACCGGCGGATCTTTTCTTGGGCTTTTGGGTCGCTGCCAAGGTCGACGTCAGTCATGGCGCTTCACAAGGCACGCACAATCTGGGGACTGAAAACACTCACCTCAGCTCGTCGTACCCGTCAATGGCATCAAAATCAAAGGTGCCATCACCAGAGGAATCACACGCCTCCCGAAGATTGAGTAGCTGCGCGCCGGAGACGCACCCCCTACAGCACGGCAGTTTGTCAGCGGAGATGCGCAGCGCGACTGGATGGATGGCTGCCACGACATGTTGGCCACATACCAGTGCCTCCAGGCCCAGCTTCCATGATCCTCCACCTCTACCCAGATGCCGAAGCGAATCTCGCCCTTGAGAATCTTGACCTTTTCATTTTTGCACACGGTATCTTTGCAACCTGCCCGGTTGTTGGGTGAGATTTCTGCGCCAGGGTAAGCGTGTATTGCAAAATGGAGAAGTGAAGTGGCGGATTCTCCGGTCATACCGATGCGGTATTGAGGCATGGCGCCGTGAACAATGAGACGTGTTGGGCCAGACGCGGCACGTTTTTCCCTTTGCCCGACGTTCAGATGTCGGGCTCTGCAGGAGGCGCGCCACGGAGCGGTCTAGTTGGAGCTTGGTTCAATGCTCGCGCAGGTTGCCTATATGCGAGCGGGCACAGATGGAGGCAAAACTGAGGAGATGATCAAGAGGGAGAGGCCGATGTGGGCAGAAACAAGGCTGTCGCAAAGGAGCGCGCAGACTCCAGAGGCGGAGGCAGCCCGGGACGTTGCCTAGAGTCTGGAGCCTGGCCCGCTGGGGCGGTCAGTGACGGGTCCAGTCAGCGCTGGAGCCCCGGCGCCGCGGTGCAGTGCAGCAGTGGTGCGCTGCAGGTCGGGGACGGGGCCCGCGGGTCAAGCAACGACGTGCGCAGCCGCGTGCTGTTGCACCAGAGACGTGTCGACGACGTCCTTGACAGCTTCAAGCTCAACATGTTCGTCGACGCCGGCGGCGGATCAATCCACCACCCAAGTGGCCCTTGGCAGTGATTTGCGGTCCCTGTCTGGTGTCGGGAGCAATTTTCGCGCATCATTGCGCTTCACAGCAACTCATAGCCGTGCCATTTGACACGTCGTTTGCTTGAAGCCTTGAACCGCCTGGTTGCCCTCGCAACCCCCTTCACTTCTCACTTCTACTTCCACCGATATCAAAACATTGCCAAGGTCCCCTGCCCTTTTATCACCCTTGATTCGAACGCCAGTCTATGCTCAGCTCACACCTCGCCCCTCGCAAGCCAAATTACCACTACAAAAATGGACACCATCCAATATACATGCCCGTCAAATTCCTCGGGTCGACAGCCTGTTTGATGAGCTCTTCCACCTGACCTTCCACACTCAGCGGAATGCTCTCGTTCGGCAAAAGCCCTCTGACTTTCCTCTTGATGCTGTCCACCACGCTCTGCGGCTGCAGCCTGACGCTTGCATCGCCTCTCCTCGACGACTTCTTTTCCTTCTGTAAATCCAGTGTTGGATCGTATATGAACGCCTCCAAGATGGTCATCAGCGTTTCCTCCTGTTGCCGGAGAATGCTCAGGGTTAGCTCCGACGACTTTCTAAACGGCCCCTCGTATCCGTATATGCCCATCGCTGCAACCATGTTGTGTGTAAGGCGGAACGGGACCCGTTCAGGCTTGGCAAAGGTCAGGCCCTTGTCGAAGAGGCAGTTGAAGTCCACGTGGAATGTCCCGCCGTTGCCTTCCTCCAAGTTGACGTTTTCACCATGCCGGTCGCCCAAGCCGAGGATTGTGCCCACCATGGACATGACCGCACATGACCGAGTGTATCTGAGACGAGCCGCAAACCACGCCGACGGATTGGGAAACTGTTGAATGAACCACAGCGGCAGCAGGGGCGGGAATCGCCCCAGCACGTCGTCGGTGAAGATTCGGATTTTGCTCTCAGATGTTGATGCTTCATCCATCAATTGCCTGAGTGTCGCGTAGTCGGGGTGGATTTTCTGCGACGCGTACAGGTTCAACAGGATGTCTCTCATCGTCTTGATTCCCGGAACCCACTCGATGATGCCGCACTCCTCATTCAATGGGACAACGGCGTACGTTCGGATGTACAACTGTCGCCTGCTGGACTCCGCGTCCCGCTTCAAGGACCGATTGATGATGCCGTTGAACTCCATGAGACGCTGGTCTGTCCGGAGATCGTCTTTTGGCTTGATCAACAACATGTAGCTCTTGCCATCGGACCCCCTCGCGGTCAGGCGTCTCGGTTTCGCGAGTGAGCTCAGCACGAGGACGTCATCCAGGAAGCAGTCGATTGTGACGACGTCCCGAGAAAAGGCATTGTGTTTCTTCACATGGTCGGAAACAGCAGGCAGCGTTGCCGTCAGAGAGCTTTCTACAGGCACCACCAGCGGGCAGGGTGTGCACTTGTGCTGGAAGCGGAGATCTCGTGAAAGACTCGCCTTGACCGTTTTGTTGCTGTGAAACTCGCCGTTTTGACAGGCTAGAAGAAGTTGCTCTGCCAGCTTTTCACCAGCCCTGATGAGGTACTTGACATCCTGGGACGCGCCGTCCGCCTTTCTTTGAATTCCCCTCAGAGCCTGCAGGATTTGTGCGCCTCGCACCTTTCGCTCGGATGCCTGCTTCGTAGTCATGATGCCAATGAGACTCCACAGGGCTTGTCTTGGATGCGCCTCGACAACCTTTGTTATGATGTGACTGAGGCGCTCGAAGACTGCAATGTTTGGGTGAGCGATTCGAGCCACAATTTGCGGCAGAGCCGTGTAAAAGATGTACGCCGGCAAGCGGTTGATGTACTTGTCTAGGAAGGCATGCAGAATATTGAGCTGTTCGACTCGTCGCTTATGTAGTTCTCGGGAAAGTGAAACCTTGCCCTCTGGCGCCTTGTCGACCTGTGCCCCGACGTCCAGCCACAATGTCAGTATTCGTGGAAGAGTTTGGTAAAGATATTTGGTTCCCGAGTTAAGAGACCGCAGATAGTTTTCAATCACAAGTCTGGCGATTTCTCCCGTGACGTAGTTATCACTCTGATGCTCGATTCTGAGGGACTGTTCAGCCTCCAGGATTTTTTTGTAGTGTCGGCCAAGGTAGTAGTGGCCCTTCTCCCAGGTCGAGTACGTCTTGGGAGGCTGTTGGTACTTTTCTCGCAATGCGACGGCGTGAGATTGCCCAGCGGCATCGAGCCACTTGGCAAGGAGTAACTGTGCCCGGGCAGTCAGCAGTCGTTGTTGCGGGTTCAGCTTCGAGGTCCCGGCCGTGCCAGCGCTCGTTGACGGGTCAGTCTTCGTCATGAATTTGTTGCGTTCAATGGCACCTTGAAGCATTTGAATAGCCTTGCGATGATGGTTGTCCCTCCACAACAGCTTCGCGTTCTCGATCGTTGCCGAGTCATCGCCTAGTCGGGAGGCATGCAACACAGCATTGAAGGACTGATGGAAGGAATTGGTTTTTCGAGCCAGCCTGGCACTGGACAGCCACAGACCCGAAATGTCCAGATCCGCAAAAGTTGGTCTGCCGAATTTGCCGTCAGTATAAAGTCCAGCAACGCTCGTGGTGTGATTGATCCTGTCCATACCTCGACAGCTCCATGGCAGCGCGTCTGATGCCGAGGACGTATTGCTTATCGCTGAACCTTCCTCCAATGATTTCTAGTCGACCATCCAACAAACCTAGAGTTCTCCGCCGTTCAGTTTCGTTGCCAGGTTTGGTATTGACAATGACATCCAAGTCTGTCAGAACGTGACACTTCAACAAGATCTCATGCGCGGCATTCAGTGAAGCCGTGGCTGACGCAGTCATGGATAAGGCTATCTTGTCCTGCATGCTTTGTACAAGCTTGTCAAGTGGATCCGGTCCGGCGTGGCGATATAGAGAGTCAAACAGACAGGCGACAGACATGTTAAAATCTTGAGCGACATCTTCCTGAAATCGCCCTGTAAATTTGGCTAGGCTTTCCCATCGGCCAGTGACCCAGGCTGCTTCCACAGCAAATGGCAGAACTTTGTTCTCGGCTGAAGGGTCCGTCTGCATACCCTCAATGTGATTCAAGAGCACATCTAGTGGACAGTTAATAAACGCGCTGATGGAGCTGTGGGTTGACGAGAAACAAACCATGCTGGCCGGCTTGCTTCAAACAATTGAGAAGATCCACTTGAACCTCGGTGTTTTGAGGGTTCTCAGCAAGCTGCATTTCGTACCAAGTTTGAGCTGACGCCCATCGACCAGCCTTTTTGTGGCTCAGGATCTGTTGATTTATGTCAAGTGCGTGAAGCTGTGAAGAGATGCCTTCCAGGCCGTCTGGTTCGTCAATATGGGCATAAATATCCTGAAGCTTCTCTAGCAATCTGCTTCGATCCCCGGGCGCCTGTTTTTGCTGCTCCATTTTCTGCGCATGTTGCTCAAGGTGGAACAGAGCACGAGAGTACTCATTGCAGTCGGTGGCTCGTTGCGAGATGAGTTCTGCGGGTATTTGATCGAGTACGCGTTGTATTCGTGCGACGCTCTCTTTGCCTTCGGCAGAAAGTCTTCCAGCTGCACGCTTTTCTTGGATCCATCTCATGGCATAATCCAGGCAACGAAACACGGCCTTTATCAAGATTTAGCTCGAGAACCGAGCACCGAGCTTGGGATACACTTACATGACAATATCGTTTCATTTCTTCCCGTTCCAGGTACGACGCATCGTCAGCGGGATGGTGTCTCAAAACCCCTAAAAGCTCATTCACTATCCGTTTCTTTTCATCCTCGCTGCTCCGTGCCCCGAGCAATATGTGGATTACTAGATAGGGCAAAAGAAACTCGGCTGTAGATAAATCTTTAACACGGATCACGCGCATAAGAGGCTCAAAGAGCAAGTCAGCATGGGGATGTTGTCCCGCCCTCAGCATGTCGATAACAAAGGACCGCAGCCAATTGCCATAAGGTTTGCCTGGATGGAAGATGGGATATTCCACAATGACTGGAGGCATTGGAGCAACCATGTATCTAGAGCTTAAAAAGGGGCTCATGACCTCTCGAGCATGGTCTGGAATGGCGATCCATTTCCTGTAAATGTCGTTGCCACCGAGCATGCCAGTTTCGTTCATAGCACAAGCTGCTTTGATCTCGCATTTGTCGAGCAGCTCTTGCATGGCGTAAGAAAGGAATCCTTGAAGTTTGGTATCTGTCGCAGATAAAAATGACGGAACTAAAACCTCCTCAAGCATAAACAACCCAAAGTCGGTCATCTCCTCCGGCGCCACGAAATTGTTCAACACAACAATAGATCGCTGTTCTCGAACTGTTTCGATCTGATTGGAATCGAGACAGCCGATAAGACCTATGCATTGAACGCACAACCGGGCAATGTCCATTTGTATCCCGCTGTATTTACAAGCACAATCGAGAAGTGCTCTCAATATACTTGTAATTGCATTATCTGGCCTTTGGCTCACAGCAGAGGTGTACAAGGCGCTCTGGTTATCCCTTAGGTAAGGGGCAAGTTCAGTCAAAGCCTGGTGAACTACACCCGCATTGTCATGACTAACCCTCTGGGCAAACACGGCGAGTGCTTCTTCCATCGAAAGAACTGGACGCATTCCTTCGAGGCTCTTCTCAACGACTTCAAGTCCCTTGCAGCACGACAGCGACGGGAGCTTACTGATGTAAATCTCAATCATGGCACCATGCCTAACCAGCAAGGATCGAAGCATATTTTCGCAAACAGTCGCGGTTGTTTCTTCCAACACAGGCCAGTACCGACGGACAATGAAGAAGGTAGTTTCGAGCAATGCTTCGATGTCCTCTTCCTCCAGATGAGCAAGCATTGCGGCCCAGCAAGAAAAGCAAGCCTCTCTTAAAGGTTCCTGAGAAATTGCTGCGAGAAGGCAGGCCGATATCTAACGCTATTTAGAAAAAATTATTCTGGGAATAGAACAAGGACGTACCTGCGGCCTGGCAACCCGGACATATTGCTTGCAGACTTTGAGCATCTCTTCCAAAGTCGCGACGGCGCTCTTTTGTTCCATAATAAGAGGCTGCAACGTAATTGAATCGTTGATAACATCGGTCAGACGAGCCATGAGGCCCAAAACGTGGGATTGCAAAAATCGACCAATCACGTTTCCTTTCTTGCTTTTAGTATCCTTGTTCGTGCTCAAAATAGTTGTTGCCATTAGGTGAAGGGCTCGATGAACCTGTAAAGCGTCAGGGTCATTGCTTGGAACAGTCGGCCTGTTTGACTTACAAGAGATCGTTTGGCTTCATCCGCTCTCGCAGCTGTCTTGAGAAGCTCTAAAGCAATCAAGACAGGCTCCGACTGAAACAGAACAAGAAGTGATAGGGAATGGAAATGAGGAGATATTTCGTTCAAGCGAGATTTGGCAAATTTCTCAATATCGCCAGTGTCCTGTACCAATAACAGAGCCAACGTTGCCGCAAGATTCGATCCATCCATCAGCTGTCTCCAAACCTCCTTTTCTTGTCGAGCTTCGGCGATCCTCTGAATTACGTCTTGACGCTTGTCCAGTACTAACCAAGGAAGCGCGTGTGTTTGTATCAACAAAAGAAGATCATTGACGGATATTTGCAGCAGTTCCGCGACAGCGCGGCTTCGTTGGGGTCGTTGAATCATGTCCTTTGTCGTCATGTAGGCAAGGCTCTTCCAGAATGGCTCAAGGAGGCGCCGCGGCGTTGTATTCCGAGCCTCTGCAAGATTCAGAAGCTCATTAAACGTGAAGGCAGACACGAAATTATTGCTGCTGCCGAGGTAGTCGAGAAGTTTGATCAACACCAAATTCAGCTCATCTTCTGAGACCACGCGACCAACCTGACCCCATGCCAGAACTCGAGTTTCCACTAAATGCGGCGGGTCTTGATCAGATGTTGATTTGAGCAGAGCAATCGTGTTTTTACGATTCCTCGCAATCAGGTCTTCCCCAACATTATTGGCAGGTCTTGTTGGCATGAAAGCCCCCAGCGTCCTACCGGCAGCGACACGAAGTTCTCTGACAGAGCTATTCAGTGACTGCAAACACCATTGCCCTGGGGCTGACGTTTCTATGTTGAAGAAATCTGCATCTTCGCAATGAGCTGCTAGTCTTCGCAGCGATATCATAGCTGCAACTCTGGGCTGTCTTGACTCTAAGAACGACGGTATCTGAGTAAGCTTTGTAAATATTGATCGGGAGGCAGCTTTAAAATCTTGCAAGCCCATCAGCGGTTTTGACTTCTCGCCAAGTTCGCAGACGGGACACTTATTCTCCTTCGTGGAATGAGTAGCGACTGCCCCCAAGCCATCACAAATACATGATACCCTCGAGAGGAGATCCAAAGTCAGACTCTGACTACTGCTAGGCACTCTAGTGAAGTTTTCACTGCAGGGAGTTAGCTATAAGTAATGGTGAAGTGAGGATAATGCCCACAGGAATAGTTCTACAGGCATGAATTCCGCTTCATTTCCTGTCCACGCTATCTCAAGTGTGTCGTATATGGCCTTGAAGAGACTCGAAAGTGGACTGTAATTTGCTGCGGTGACTTTTCTTTTTTTGGCGACGGCTTCTGACGAAGGACTTCGGTCATATTCAAGGTTGAGAGCCTGAACCAATCTCTGGATATCTTGATCCTGAAAATGGGATGGTCTTGTAGCCTCATCAAAAGTCTGTTGTGGAGCAGCGTAGATAATTTGACGCAACAAACGAGTACAGCGCTTAGTTGTTAGTGTAACTGCCAGCAAGGTTTATGGAGGATCATCATTCTTACCCAAATGTCAGTGCCCTCCCCAATTGATGCATGTTGTGATGAGAGCAAAGTCAATTCCTGGACTAGTTTCGAAGCTGCCATACGCCCAATTGCGTATGATTCGAGGGTAGCACCGGATATAGCCAGCAGGGCCTGACAATACAGCTGTCGCGACATAACACCAGTTTCGTCTTCTTGTAAAAGGGATTCCGGACGGGATATCATCTCACTGCACAACAAAACTAAAAGAGCATGTAACTTATCCTTGAACATGGAAGTCATCTCACTTCCATAATCAAGTCCACGTGACACATTCAGCACCGTCTCTATGATCGGAATAGGAGAGCTCGAGTCAGCCACATCCCATCGCTTTTGAGAATTTCGGAGGTCAAGCCACGTGTCTAGCAGCCAAGGAACAGTCTGAGATAGTGAAGCCAGAGAAGAGAATACTGAATCAGGCTGTATGAGTGGATAGGCAAGTATTTTTGCTAGGCTTGTTACCTGCCGTATCGCCTGAGATGACGAGGAGATCTGATATGCAGGCCCATTACCCCTGAATTCTTCCCCCAGAATTTGGCGGAGCGCAAACTGAGACGGAAGGTGTATAGTAGGAAAAGATTTCAGCTCGGAAGGGTCTAATGATGGATTTTGCAATTGATCTACCATGCCTGGAAGCAGTTAGCTTTTGGGCCATTTCTTTGCCGAAGAAGATTATCCATACCAGAAACACAGGCTCGCAAGTAGAGAAGTAAATCTGACCCATGTGACCATAATTGGTCCGTACGTGACACCAACAGAAGCAAGTACTGTAAGAAACCCTCTAGGGAGCCTGCCAATTCTTGGAAGAAGGTATGGCCAAGGAATCGCAAAAGGTGAGGGAGCAGCCAAACCCAAAGCGGCTCAGTGCCTCTGTGCAGCAGCGTGTTTGAGTCATCTGTATATGCGAGGACAGACGGCGTTTCTTTGATTGTGAATCTTAGGAAATTTATTGCCTTTAGGACTTCGGCATGAGCATGCGCCTGATTTACAAATGGATCGTCCAATTTTATGCTGGCCAAGGCGACACGGCAGTACACATATATGAGCATGTGATTATGTCCAATTCGATCGGCCTGGGATTTGATTAGTTCTGGGTGATCTTTGGCCCGCTGAATCATCGAAAAGAGGCCCTTCAATTCATTGTTTTCGTCCGATCGTGACGACTTGGTAGAGGTCGATATGTTCTCGACAAGCTGAGCAGCCAATGTTGATGGCGGAGGACCCTCTCCCGCGGCAGAAGCACCGCCACGGTGATCTAGCGGAACTGTGTTCCCACGGGAGTATAACGCCATCTTTCTATTGACATCGTTCTTCGCTGGGGATCATTTTGAGCCTGTGAGAAAACTCGACCTGGCGACTGGTCGTCGGTTGGCTGACGCGACAGTTATCGTGGGGCGTGACGCGCTTTCACGTGATCATGAACGGGACATCTGATTCTCCTGGCCCAAAGAGTTGCTGACATTGGCAAACACCGATTCCTTGCCACGCTCGACTCGATACTACGCTGCAAGACCTTGGATCGTTTCAATAATTATTATCCTTGGTGCGGTAAACGACGGCACATTGCTTTGTCACCTTGACTTAGCCACCCAGTTGATGAAGGACCCTTTGGAGTTCTGGGTGTGGAATCATGATGCTTCAGGATAAGAGATGAGTTGATCAAAACGACCGGTAATTCCCACGTAGATGCCTGTGGCGTGTGCTCAGGTAAGCTTTTGCGCAATATTGAAGTCAGTACGGTGGTTTTCCCTCTGAAAAGCGCCCTTTTGCGATCGCAGGATCTTTCTTCAGCCAGATTAGTGACGCCATCGGCGATCCCGGATGAGGAGCATAAATGGCATAAAAATACGCACAAGAATTCGAACGCCATTCTTCGCGTCTGTTCATATCATCGATGGGACTACGATTTTTGTTCTAAGTCGGTCGCATTCGCCTGACGTGCTTGTGCAAAGGTGCGGACAACCGTGCCTCCGAAAAGCCTTCCAAACTCCACCAACGTCGGGACTCAGCTTCCTGAATCGCCTTCCTAGGGAGCTGGTGTGGGTGCTTCTCGAAAAAGTCGATCTTCTGTCCTTCCTACTTTCATTTTGTCCACCCAATCGGTGCGCTCGTCTCCTGTCGGCGTCCTGAGGCAAATTGAACCGATTGCAAAGGATAGGTTGGAGGGACTGAGCGGCCTCCTACGTTCCACTCTTGCCCCTTGGTTCACTATTCTGGAACTATGCTTCTGGCTTAAGTTTGCCGACTGCACGTCTTAGGGCGCGTTTGGGGGCTTGATATTTCTGTCAAGTTTTACACGATGCTGCTTTCTCTGCATTCGTACATCGCCCAACCTTGATGCTTGAGCACGTCTGCTGTTTCCTAGGTTGCACGGATATTGACAACAAGTTTGCATCGGCTGTTGGGCTTAATAATATATACTGTGCCTGGCTATATTATTTGGAGGAACGACGGGTAAGACCAAAATATCTGACGGTCGAAGGACAGGCCACGGTAATGCTTCGCTCACTCGGCGCGCTTGCTTAGGATTTAGTGCTGACTTGGAAATGGGAGCACGATCGTCGGGAATGTTCAGGCTCAACAGCAGACTTTTGCCTCACTTTAAACGTTGTGTGGAGGCGCAACAGCCATGATCAGAGAGCCGGCATGCCCGAATTCACGCGCCGCGGGGGCTACTTCAGAAGCCTTGGCCCGGATGGGTGACCGAGATAGTATAACACAAAATTCGGCAGATCGCGTCACCTTTCTGAGTCGCACCGTACAACTTTCAATTCCATTGCTTCACGGTCTGAACAGACTAGCTCGTGCCGATACCCCTTGTTCCTCGTGGGCTCCTAGATCCGGTCAAAAAAGTCAAAAATAAACATCTATCCTGCATGTGCTAATTACGAGGGTGTTCAAGCCTGAGAAACTGATCTTTGCAGTAATATCTTTCACTGTCTTACTTGATATTACTTGGATGCTTGGAGAAGTGGAGTGAGAAACCAAGATCGAATGATGCGGAAGTTCTGGAGGATTTATTCCACTCCAAGCCCTTGATTCTCATATCTCACCGTGAGCGCATCGTGTGTCACGCCTATCTTCTGCTCAGCTTGTGGCAATACAGGTACGAAGCTCTGCCGACTCACCTCCCAGCTTGACTTTATACGTGATGATGGCCGAGCCGTAGCTAGCCTCTATGGCACCCGTCAAGCAAAAGTACCTATGGTTGCCAATCCGAGTTACTCCTGCCGCGTTCTTGGTCGACATTGGGATTTTGTCTAGGTTCAATGACAGCGTTGCAATGCACGTCGTCCTTGGGGTACAATGGATCGGTGGTACGGGATCGTCGTTGCAGAATATTTCGATTTCTGTTTGCGGAACAGGGCCGGCCGATACAGGTATATCACACTGGTAATCAATGGCAGTAGGTTTTCCTTCCGTATAAGACTCGCCCTTGAGAGAGTCAGTATCAGAACCGGATCGAGAAAACTGGAATACTTCGGACCTTCCTGATAAACCAACACATTTCGGCAACTACCATCTCGCCTTCCTTGGGGGACCAAACCCTTGAAATCAGTTAGCTTACTCTGTACCCAATATGGCTCATGTCAAACTCACGCCTCTTTAGGATCATGCCGCGTCATATCATACGCAGCAAGAAGACAGGTACCGTACGAGCGTCTCGCTATTCTCGACACGATTTTCACTTGGGACAAGCTAGGATGGTAATACCCCAGGCCGTGTATGGCCGCTCCCTTCACCACGGCTGTCCAGGCGTTATCCGGTTGCAGCACCGCGGTGTCGCGCGCAAGAGCCGCTTTCACTTCAGACTTCAGGTATGAGCTCTCACCAAAACCACCAACCAGTACCACTGCGGCAATCTCGGCGGCAACCAAACCTATCTGCTCCTTCACCAGGCAAATAATGTCTTTCATTATTGGTGCAAAAATCCTTGCTTTCATGTCGGCCTGCGGTATGGTGAACCGATTGCGCTTCAGGCCGAGGCTCTCATCAACCCGAATCGTGAGAGGCTCTCCTTTCGGGGAGAAGCCCTTCTTGAACTGCACACGTTTCAGCACAACTTTTGGCAGAGGAATGAGATGCAAATGCTGTACCTACCGACTCAAATTCAGCAACTGCCAATATCAGACGCTCGTTGGTCCAATACCTGTCGCCGTGTGTTTGCTTAAGATATCTCCTGAACCTCTTGTTTAACATGGCAGAGCCACATTTTCCACCAGTGCCTTCAGTTATTTCTTTGACTGCTAGACCGCCAGCGTGCGACACCTCGTACGATATCAGGTCGACCGTACCGCCGCCAGCATCGCACAACACGAAGTTTCTTCCGGGCTTCAGAACCGACGGACCAAGATGTTTGATTGTATACAGAGCAGCAGCTTCCTATTACAGTCAGCCACGAGCGTACCCCGAGGGAATGAGTCGTGACTCATACTGGCTCTGAAATGAGAAGAATTCTTTTGTTGCCACAAAAGCCGGCCATGGCAGCCGCTCGCTCGGTGGCCTGCTTTGCGGTGTTGGACCAAATTGCAGGAACGGTAACGACAAAGTCCATTGGAGTCATTTGCACAACTGCACGCGAGAGCTTCCTTTCCAAGATGCCAATGAAGTGGTCATGCAAACAGGAGAGGTAGATCCTGGCCAGTTCCAATGGCGTATCGCCATCTCGACTTGGTTTCTCTGGCTCGTCCAGCTTCCTGGCGGATGTTAGATTTCAGATCGATCCAGCTGGCGTGCAAGCTTCGAGCTCCGCAGCTCAACTAACAGCTTGAAAAAGCGATATCGCTTGGCGTTGTTGGGAATTTGGAAACCCCACTGCCATCCTGTAGCCAACTTTCGCAGTTCTGTAGGTACCTTGAGACTGCTTTTCGGGCCATCGGTGGAGGGCCAGCTTGATACGACATGTTGAACATCAGGCTGATGGAAGTGAGCATTCGGATCGCTGGCAGTACGCGGGTCAGCTTACTCGGCTTGTTTCGGCCCAGGACACGCCAGAATACGTCGTTCCAAAGTCGATGGAGACGACTATTCTTCTCTTCTCCATCGTGCTTATGAGGTACCGGAGATTGTATTCGAAGCCCAAATGCAAGTGATTGCCGCCAGGGCTTTGCTTTCGGACAAGCTGGCTTCTTACTCCTGCGGCGGCCTCATCGAGATTACTACATCGAAATATGGCACGACACGCTCATAGAGACGGGCACGGATGGTACTTGGAGTGTTGCTATTATTACTCAACCTCGGTCTCTGCTGCATTGTCTACTGCTTTGGGCATTGCCATGACCTACAACGTCCACCAGGGGCCTCGAAAGTGGGCCAAGTTTTGAGGCATTGCTGCCCAGCAGGAAGCCCAAGACGCCGTGCCTTTGAATTTGCACGTTGTCGTACGGCACATGTTCAAAATGGGCCCCAGCAGGGTTTCAACAGAGCTGGTGTTCGGAGCAACCACAAAGGACATAAGCTACAGAGTACTCCGTATACGGACTTGGCATGACTTTGGCGCCCGCACGTACCCAGCCAGCTCTGGCGCCCAGTTTCATGCCGCTTTGTTGTTGTTGCCCTTGGAGCGAGCCTCGCGGGGGAGTGACGCATGTTGTGCAGAGAGATGCCATGACGCATACGCACTTGCCATCTAGTCGGTCACGTTTACTACAATCACCATTGGAAAATCGATAGTCGGACCCTCAATGAATCACATTTGTGACCTGATACTCAATCGTGTCCAAGACACGTCGAGAAGCTCGACACACAAACCGAGCGCCCTCATGGCAGGAGACGGCTCAGCGACTGCGCCGGGGGGGCAGCAAGAGAGCCTGGAAAGGTTACTGAACGATGAACGAAACCTGCGCAGCTTTACCGAGCAAGTCCTGGATTGTCGGCAGATAGAACTCGAAGTTGCAGAGTCAGAGAACAAGAGACTCTTCAAGAAAATCGACCAGCTGGTCAAGGAATTATCGGAATCCAAGGCGCAGCTATTCGAAGCACGAGCGCAGGTGAAGTCAAAGGACCGGAACCTGCAAGAGGCTGGTGATCACATATTCCGACTTCAGTCGCAACGGGAAGACATTACTGAGTCGGACGCCAGAGACGCGTACAGGGCACTTTGTGACAGAATCCAACGATGGGTGGAAAACAGGCTGCCGGTCACCTTGGAAGCGGCGTCGTCAGGCCAAACAAAGAAGCCACCGCCGGCGCAGGCAACGAAATTCCTCTCCTTGCTCCGTGAGCCAGCAAAACGGTGTCTCTCTGTACACCTCAGCGACGAGTACCACGTCGTGGCGGCCATCTTGTACTATCTATGGCTGGCCTTCTTCTCAAAGCCATTCTATTGCCCGCTTGATGACTCTACAGAAGATGCAACGTTGTTGTGGATTCTTGGAACTGAATCAGCCATGGCGAAATCTCGAAGTAGGGCACACCATACCACTGCCGCACACAGGTATACCTTTGAATGCTGACCAGCGAGCTACAGATGCCGAGCATTGCCGCGAATGGAGAAGCGAAACCCTGTTGGCGTTGTGCACCCAAAAGTCTTTCAAATCTAGACGAGAATCGTACATCTATCTAATCTCCAAGGACCTGTCATCGTATCTAACACCAGTGTTCCCCAAAATATCACTCGTGGAGCTCCAAAACTCGCTTCGAAAGGCCGTGGTCCAGCCTGCAGCCGATCTTGCTCATAGACTACACACATCAGTCAACGTCTTTTGGCTGAAGTGGCCGTTGAAAACTGCCAGCACACGGCTCGAAGTTTATGAATGCTTCAACTTGGCCGATGGCGGCCGGGTAATGGACCTGGGCGGCACATCGCCCGAGTCGCCCAGTCGACGCAACATCAGATACATGTTTGACATTGCCCCCGGGCTGTTCGTGGAGAGGGTGGACGGGGGAAGGAAGTTGCCTCTCAAGGCCATCTGTCGACCAAAGGTGCTCATACACAGCAGCGAGAGCCACGTCTCCCACCGGGCAACGCTCTTGACGTGGCTGTATAGTGCCACAAAAGACAGCTGATGACGTGGCAGTTTTGCTGTTGCTTGTTTTTTGAGTGTAGGAGTTGACCAAAGACGATGATTTAGCCTCCATCGAGCGCCATGTACAACGAGGAAGCATGGAATCTCTGTGCCATGTCGGGTCTTTATTCACACTCCAGCCTCGCTTGCCCGTGGCGAATTCGATCTCGTAGGGGTTGGCGTTTCCCGGCTCGAGCTGGCTGATTCTGGGACAAAGGGGCGAATGCAGTTGCGAATGTAGTCATCCTCCATGCCCAGACACGCAGCGTCCTTGAGGCCACGGTTGATGCGATCAATGTACTCTTCCTTGGGGCTACTATCCACCACATGCACCAGGCTCATATACACCAAGACATTGTCAGTGTCCCTGTCAATCGTCGTCGTCGTCGTGGTCCTGCGATGGCTGTGCTTTGCACTCTTGCGGACACGGCATGGCCCGCCGCGGGCCACGATCCACGGAACGGAGCGGCGGTACAGCGAACAGCAGGCCAGCTTGACCCTGACCTGCATATGCTGCTTCTCGTAGGCGCCCTTGGCGACGCCCTCGCTGATGTCGAGCTTCTCCTCGTCCGTCTCCTCAATCTCGTACACCAGCCCGTCCACCCACTGCCCCTGTGCGTGCACCACGTTGGCATACCCACGCTCGTTGATTTGCCATCGGAAGTTGGGTAGCCGCCCGAAGCCGACGTATCTGCTATTGGGACACCTACGCTGCATTTGTTTCATGTGAAGGTTGCTTCCGTAAGCGAAATAATACTTGACATGTCGAACCTCAGCCGACCCCTCGTGAGCTGCCGCCGGTGCGGCTGCTTCGCCCATGGCTGGCTGGCCGGCCGGAGGAGGGGCCCAGTCCTTGCCCTCGATGTGCTTCGATTTGAGAAAGCAACGCTCTTGTCTCCAATGTCTCCAATGCAGCATGGGAAACAAAAAAGTGGTCAGGCGGCGGGCGAGCGAGAGATGGAAAGGATCGAAAGGGGAGAAGAGGGAAGAGGACCAGGCTTCATTTGCTCAATAGCAGGTCACTTTTAAACATGGCCTTTCTGGCGGTGGATCCGTTGTGCATACTTCATTCATGTTGGGCAGCAACGTGTTGCTTGGCCGTGAGTCGGTGCGAGTTGGGCCAATCGAAGGCTCACACGTTCAGATGCTGTCCAGGCGCTCGTGACCCAAAAGCCAAGGAGAAGGGATTGTGCCTCGCCTCGCACCAGAAGGCTGGATCGGGTCAACGTTCTGTCGTCCAACCGAACGGCTCGTCTCCCACGTCACATATGACCGCCCTCCATACCAACCCTGCAGAAGAACGCGGCACGTCATCCAGGTCACGCAGGCAATCGGGCAACGAGCAACGTTGCTGGCCGTTGACACACGGAGAACTCGTCTCATTCGGCCATTGTGAGAGACACTCTGTTGGGGTGGCACGAACAACGACGTCTGCCTCGAGGTTCTTGGCCGCCCTTTACATTCTGACTTTGGACTTGGGTTTGTTCCGCGTCGGTGTTGGGTACTGGTGCCCGTGTAAGGTATCGATTTCAGGGACGAAAGGAAGAACAACGTGCGAGGCAAGCTTTGTTCGGTGTTTGTGCTTGTCCTTCTTCCGGATTTGCGTGCCTGTGGTTGAGCCGGCGAGCCTTGCGCCCCGTCGACTTGGCTGTACGTCGAGAGAGACGGACAAGGGAGGCGAGAGGAAGGGGGATGAATGAGTTCGTCGTGTCCAGAGACGCCGTGGCACACATGTCCAGGCGCCCAATGTCGACGGTTCAAGAGGCTTCAGATGTGGCATGTTGTTGTCTGTATAAATCCCGAGTCTGCGTCGGCAAGCAGTCTGGCAGGCCGCCTTTATCCTGCGTCGCAACGTCGCCCGTCCGTCTCCGTCTACCGAGCATATTGCTGCAACAAACTGTCCGCTCCCGCGTCACGCCTCGCGTCTCCTAGCCGTCATGAGACACTACAACTTTGGCGTCGAGATCGAATCCATCGGAAAGCCATACGGCGGCGGCGAAAGCTTCACCAACGTCGACTGGTACCGACAGCTGGCGCAGAAACTGCAGAACCGAGGCATCGAGGCCGTCTACGATGACTGCTCGAAATACAGCAAGCACCCCGAGTACTACGGCGGCAAGTGGTTCGTCACGCGCGACGGATCCCTCAAGCGCCCTCGCCCGTACGGTTCGTCGGTCCCCGTCCCGACCCTCGGCTCTCTCGCCCTCTCCGTGTCCAGTGACTCCTGTCCTGCCCTGCCCTGGCCTGACCCCGTCATACACATAGGCGGACACGCTGCCCCCCCTCAGAGTTCTCCGTAGACTGACTGACTCTCGAGAACCAGTGTGCATGGAGGTCGTGTCGCCGCGCCTCGACACCAAGCTTCACCTCACCCGTATCCTCGGCGACTTCTGGGAGGCCATGCGGGTGCACTTCAACCCGCAGAAAGACGAGTCGTGCGGCGGCCACGTCCACGTCACCCCCGTCAGCCGCAAGAACAAGTTCAAGCTCGGCACCCTCAAGCAAATCGCCTTTGCGGCCATCGCCTACGAGGACTTCCTGTGCTCCATGCTGCCCCCGTCCCGGCGCGAGAACCAGTACTGCAAGCTGAACAGCCAGAGCTCCGGGTCCGGCGTGTGCGAGGCGCTGAGCTGGGGAAAGTCCACGGCCAGCCTCAAGCACGTCGCATCCGAGATCAAGGCCCTGCGCGCCGAGACCGACATCTACCTGTACATGCAGGGCAACCGATACGTCCTGTGGAATTTCCAGAACATCTTCCCCCACCCCAAGACGGGGCGGTGTACGGGCACCGTCGAGTTCAGAGGCGGCAACCAGTTCCTCGGGACAAAGGGAACGCTGGCATGGGTCGCCTTTGTCCTGGGCTTCATCACGCTGGCGACCAAGGAGGTTCGTGGCCATCCCCTCCTGCCCCCCCCCTCCCCTTTTCCCTTTACCTTGTCCGTGTCTCAGTCTCAGTCTCGTCGTGTTTCCGTCCCCGTATCGTGTACGCCGCGTGAGTGTGGACGCTGACGACACGGCATCAGAATCTCATCAAGCGCTTTTCCGAGTACACACCCCCTTCGGATCCGAAATACGTGAAACGCCTCGAGGAGTGGTGGATCCGAATCAGAAAGGCAGCCCGGAAGAGCCATCTGAGCAGGCATCTTCCCAACGACTACAAGAAGATGAGGACAAGATGAACCAACCCCCGGGGACAAACAAGAAACAACCACAGCCCCCCCCCCCTTCCCATGTACAGTACACCAGAGTAGCCGTCATCAAACACGTGTCGTCAATTAAACATGTATATATGTAGTGTCCTAAAACGCCCACAAGTCCGCTCATGCCTCCTCCTTGGCTGCACCCTCTTCAAAAAGTACCAAAACCGTACCCGCTTTGCAAATGTCCTGTTTGAGAAGCAAGGTTTCAAAAAACATTGTCAGCCGTGCCGGAGGTTTCAAAAAAAAAAAAAAAGAGAGAAACAAAGAAAATGCATGGTTAATGCATCAACTTACACCCTCCTTGTGCGCCAGCTTCTTGACTACGCCGTCCTGCGGCGATCGAATCACCGTCTCCATCTTCATGGATTCGATACTGTAATGGGATGCAAAGACAGAGCTTAGCGAAAAGACTACAAGTGCAGCGGTTAAAAGTGCGCATCAGCGTGGACTTACACTACGAGGGGGGTTCCCTTCTGCACCTCCTGGCCCTCGACGACCTCATTCTTCAGAATCTTGCAGGGCATTGGCGCAACCACCGAGGCGGCCATCTCCTTGAGTCCCAGCGCCTTGTCGTACCACGACGGGGGCAGCAGACAGAGATCGGTCTTGACGCCGTGCTGGAAGACGGTGATTTTGGTCTCGTTCCCCTGGGTCTGAGGGACGACAGAGGACAGTATCCTCTCGGCGGGGAAGTAGGTCTGCAGCTTCATGACGGCGCCTTCGGGGGCAGGCTCGCTGGCGACGTTGTTGAAGACGGTGGGGGCCTCTTGTCCCTTTCGTGAGACGGTGACGCTGTACAGGCCGTGTCCGGCCTGAGTGACGGCCGCCTCGACAATCTCGCCCTCCTTGTCGCTGTATCCGTCGAGGACCTTGAAGGCCAGCTTGCGCTCGCTGGATGCGCTGGCGTCGCCGAAACCTAGGGTCTGGCCGTGAGGCCTGGCCCCGTGCAGCTGCAGGCTCAGAACGCCGAGGGCGGCCTGGGCAAAGACCTCGTCGCTGATGTGTCTGGGCCGGAAGAGCTCGTCGCGCCACTTGTCGATGAAGCCGGTCTCGACGTCGCCGTCGATGAAGGCGGGCGAGTGGCACAGGCGCTTGAGGAACTCGACGTTTGTGCTGACGCCGACAATCTCAAAGGCACGCAGGGCGGCGGCCAGCTTGGCAATGGCCTGGCGGCGGTTCTCTCCCCGCACAATCAGCTTGGCAATCATGCCGTCGTAGGCCTCGGACACGGTGCTGCCAGAGCCGAAGCCCCAGTCCAGCCTGACGTCCGGGTCGGCCTGGACGCGCTCGGGGAGGAGCGCGTGGACAAGCTTGCCCGAGTCGGGCATGAATCCCTTCTCGGGGTTCTCGGCGTAGATGCGGGCCTCGACGGCGGCGCCGAGCCGCTTCATCCGCTCCTCTACCTGGGCCTGCTTCAGGGGCAGCTCCTCGCCGGCGGCGATGCGGAACTGCCACTCGACGAGGTCCAGGCCCGTCACCATCTCGGTGACGGGGTGCTCGACCTGCAGCCTGGTGTTCATCTCCATGAAGTAGAAGTTGCCGCTGTCCTTGTCGAGTATGAACTCGACCGTCCCGGCGCCGACGTAGCCCACGGCGGAAGCGGCCTTGCGAGCCTTGTCCCACAGGTCCTGCCTCGTGGCCTCGTCCAGGTCGGGGGCCGGAGACTCCTCGAGAACCTTTTGGTGTCGCCGCTGGACGCTGCAGTCCCGCTCGCCGAGCGCCGCCGTGTTGCCGTGCCGGTCGGCAAACACTTGGACCTCGACGTGACGCGGTCGCACGATGTACTTCTCCACCAGCATGACCTCGCCGCCTTCGCCGAACGAAGCGCGGGCCTCGGCGCGCGCACTCTTCAGCTGGGTCATGAACTCGTCCTCTGTCATGACAATCCGCATGCCCTTGCCGCCGCCGCCACGTACGCTCTTCAGCAGGACGGGGAACGTGATGTCCCTGGCATGCTGGAGCAGCTCCTGCTCCCCCTGGTCGGCGCCATGGTAGCCGGGGACGCAGGGCACATTGGCAGCCGTCATGATCTCCTTGCTCCTCGCCTTGTTGCCCATGTCGGCCATGGCGGCCGCGGGCGGCCCGACAAAGACAATGCCTTCCCTTTCGCACTTTTCGGCGAACTGAGAGTTCTCGGACAAGAAGCCGTATCCGGGGTGCAGCGCCTGGATGCCGTGCTTCTTGGCCAACGCAATGATCTTGTCTCCGTCGAGGTAGCCGTTGGCGGGGCCAAGGCCCAAGGACTGGTATCCGGTCGAGGCGTGCCACGAGCCCGCGTCGACATCCGTGTAGACTGTGGTGGCGCGGATGCCCATACGCTCCGCGGTGCGGTTGATTCGGATGGCAATCTCGCCGCGGTTCGCAATGAGCACTGAACTCAGGGCGGCCGCCTTGGGAGCTGGGGAGGACGACGTGGTGGACGTGTAGCGAGGGAGGGGCCTCAGCGGGAGGCGATTGGCCCTGACGGAACGCATGGCTGCAGCTGCGGCGAGGAATATCGTGAGGATCGAGCGCGTGGAGTGTCCCCGGGACCAAGCGCGAGCATGGGTGAAGTTTCCAAAGAGATTGAGAGAGTCGCTGGCACGAGTAGACACACGCGAAGTTGTGTTTCGGCTCAACGGGCCAGCACTAGCAAAGACATCCAGCTGACATCGACGATCTGGCCGTGGGGAGCCGCATGTAGCCGGCGAAACAACGCGTTACCTACCTACTCCGTAGGTACCCACCTAAGCTCTCGTAGCCGCACTAGCGTCTTCTCCCGCCGGGTTACTAAGCAGACGTCTCGTGCTTCCCCGGGCCGGCAGGCGTCAGTTGGCGCGCTTACACCAGCCAGACCGCACTTCTTCTCTCCAGGTCTCCCCTTCAACAACCATGGACAAGATCCCACTTAATTACGAAGCCTCCCAAGGCGATACCCATAAGCGAACCACCGATACAATACCTCTCGAAGTAGTGCAGTGCCTGGAGAATGCCCGTTTCGTGAGTTTCCATCCTCACCGTCCTCGCCGCCATTCGGAGCCTCCACTCCCCGAGGCCGTCACCGAGCCCTCAAGTTTCGACCTCGATGAACAATCGTGCGTGACTGACACCCTCCGCCTCAAGCTCCACCTGGCAACATGCACAGATAACGTGCCTCACGTCTCGCTCATGAACTACACATACCTCCCCTCGTCGCCGTACTCCTCCACCCCCGCCATCATCATGACCACCAACCCGGCCTCGCGCAAGACGACCAACATCATCACCAACCCCAACGTCTCGCTGCTCGTCCACGACTGTGAGTCACCCCTCTTCTAGAATCTAGAATCCCGCCCGTCCCTCACCACCGGGGGGCCCGCGTCCATTCGAACCCCCGGCAGCCGTCAAAACCACCCCAACTCACTCCCAACCCAGGGAGTTCCCACCGGCCGCCCACTCAAGGTCGCCGCATGTCCGGCGGCTCTCCGGGCCCCGAGCACCGCTCCAGCCTCGCCTCCCTCCTCCTCAACCTCAACTCGTCGGCCGTGTCCAGCATCAGCGCCACCATAGGAGGGGCCGCCCGCCTGGCGCCGCCCGGCTCGGATGAGGAGAAGTACTTTACCGAACAGCATCTCGCCAACAACACATTCGAGGAAGGAGAGGCCAGTTTCCGGCAGGATAGCAACACGAGCTCCGACGGACGCCGGAGCCGCTTCGTCGCCGGCGAGGAGGTGCGAGTCATCATTGTTGATATCAAGGACGTCAGGATCAGCGACTGGAAGGGCACCGTCCGGGATTGGGCATTGGTGCCGGATGCGGGCTTGGTCAGCGGGGCTTGAAATGGACTACTACGACTCGTCATGACTGTCTACTACTGCTTCTACTACTACCACCATTACTACTACTCTTGCTGATTTTCTGGGACGCTACCCGACGTTTTTTTCTCCCTTCTCGTTGATGCAGCCCTTTGCGGGTTCTGTGACTTTTCTTCACATCGGGAATTCTTCGCACATGGCCGACTACTAGGTGGCTCTTACAACAGGGCTTCTGATCACGGGGTCTTTCGCATAAGAAAATTTTATCCTCTCAATTTCGGTCTTGGCCGTCGACTACATCATACAAGCAGGTCTTTCCCAGCGCTGCCTAGTGTCAAATACAAACGCCGATCCTCGCATCTGTCATGTACTCCTCGAGAGTATCAGATGCCATGCTAACCACGCGTCAATACGCACGATCCTGCGATATTGATCCGGGCCCCTGCCCAGCCCTATAATTTACCCAAACGATGCTATGTACCGAATGCTAAAGTGCGGATAGGCAGAAGCAATGCTGACCATCGAGGGAAAGGAGACAAAAGAAAAGACGTGATATCAAACCGAGTGGTATACATGTTTTGAATTACCTCGCCCACTCTACAACTTCAAGCGCCATCATGACGAGGATCAGGGTAGATGGAAGAATCCTATAGCGTGATTAGTTCTGGTTCAATAAAAGCTTGAGAGCTCCGATGCCACTCACCACAGGACATAGCTCTGGAACAAGATACGGCCCATGGTCTTCTCAAAGACCATGTTGATTTGACAAATTTGAGCCAACTGAAGAGCGCTCGGAGCGCCTGTGAGAAGGAAACAGACTATAATGAAGATCGGGTCGTCCAAGATGCTGACGTTGAGATACTTGGCAGTGATGGCCAGGATTGGGGCCATGATGGCAGTGGGCAGGACCATGCGACTCAAAAGCGATGCAACTAGCAACTTGTTTCCCATCTTCTCTTCCTCGGGGTCGTGGTTGTCTTCACGGGCCATCGTGTTCCGCGCAAGATTCGCGCCCAAAACGACTAGAATCAACGGCACAGCAACGCCGCCGCTAGATTTCACGGCGTTGGTGACGCTATTGTTGATAAAAGTGCCTTCCTCAAAGAACAGTTGCTGAAGCGACGGAATGGAGGCTACCAGAACCGCACAAAGCATGGCCCACAAAGGAGGGTTCATGAATTCCCAAACGAAGGTCGCCATTTTGACACAGACACGTTTCATCAACGTCGCGGCGACTTGCAAGGGGCGAGGCATGGAGTTGTACACTCGCTGCACCGTACTGCCGATGTAGTCCTTGACGCGAATCCACGAGCGGCTTACTTTGCCCGCATCACTTCCAATGTGAGGAAATGCAGTCATGGTGTTCCGATTGCCCGTGGCAGCAGCGTTCTGCTCACCAGGGAAGGTGGCATAGCCAGCCTTGGCTTTCTTGGGCGACAGCAGTTCCTCGTCGTCACTAGAGTCCGTCATGGAAGCATGCGACGCGCCAGCGACCGGGGTCCGACCAGCAGGAATATAGTCATGGGAGTCAACACTTTGGGTCTCATCCTCTTCCATGGTGTCATCGTCAAGACGGTCATCAAGATCGGCGTTTTCGTCCTCTGCAGGCTCATCGCGATACCGTTGACCAGCCTCAGCAATTTCGTCCTGATATTCCGCGTATTTGCTCTTGGGCGCCAGTAGAACATGGTAGCCCCAGCTCCAGCGCACCAACTGGCCGAGTTGTTGGAAGATCAACAGGTATAAGATGCCTCGAGCAGCAACCTCATCATCATTATCACCCGGTATTCTGTCCCAGTGGAGGCCCTTGATTGTCTGTGAAAGCGACATGACAAGCGAGATGGGAAGTGAGTTTGAGTTTCCAAAGACCCCCATGGCAGTGACAAAGTTGGCGGCCCGCTTGTTGAACCGGAAGACCTTGACGATGAGGACGGAAACAAGCCACGATACTGCAGTCTGGACAAGGAAGATGGCGGGAATGATGGCGAGCTCGGATAATTTCTCAGCGTTCAACTGCGACGCAAGCTTCGTGAAGACTGTAAGAGTAAAGGAATGTTAGTTCACGTTGTGAGACGGCCATTGCAGGTTGAATAGAAGGTTGAATACGCACTGAGGCATGGCGTGAACAGCATGACATTCAAGTTGGCCAAGAATTTTTGCTTGTCTGCATCGAAATGGCCCAGCCGAGCAATGATGTAGCCCGGTAAGCTGACGCAAACTACTTCCAGGACGGCCTCGAAAACCAGAAGACAAAGGTAGGCAAGGGATGGATGGGCCTCGGGGCTACCATCTTGGTTGAATGCCTTCAACGGCAAGTCGTATGCGTCTTGCGCCAGCCGGGCTAGTCGAAATGACGTCGGCTTCGGGAGGGCACCGGCGAGATCCATCAAGCTCGCCTTAGGGCAGATGTGACGGGTGGGAGAAGCTGAACAAGCACAGAGGGCGTTCGTTTGGCGGTCAATCGCCAAGTGAGTGAAGAAGAGATATCGGCCCTAAACTCAGGTGCGTCGGGAAGGATGAAGCAGCAGAGGAGGGTATCGACGGCGCGGGTACGGTATCGGGACTCCTTTTTATCGGCAGGGCCACGGGGGCTTCTCTCCGAGGCGTACGAGCTGACGAGTGTCGATGGAATAACCTTATTGTAGAAGCAAACAGGGTGGGAGTGGCAATCAGGCGATTGGCACTCACTGGTGCCTATCAAGGGTGGAAGGAAAACGTCAACAGGTGTCTTGGTGCGTGGCTAGGCTGCAGGATTGGGTTGCACTGGCGCGCAAACGCCAAGAAATGCAGTATCACGGCGGACACGGTTGCTGAGAACAAGATGAGCGTCGAGCGGGCCGCCGCTTCGAAAGAGCCGGATGGGGACGATGTTGCAGATCGTCTGCGGCAGAAGCGGAACTGTGTTGTAGTGTGCAGCTCTTACCGCGGCATGGAAGTGGCAAGAGGGAGGATCATGACGAAGTGCCGGAGGAGATGCAATGAAAGGGGGAAATCGCAGTGTTTTAGCAGCTTGGACGGATGCCGCAAAACCAGTTTCACAGCATTGAATCTGACGGGGCACGGGAGGCGTTGGGAAAAAGTGGAAGAGCGGAAGCGTGCAGACTGGAGCAGAGCCGAGGTGGCTTAGCGGGCTGAGAAGTGGACCTTGACATTTTAGCTTACTTTTGGCTTGGTTTTGTCAGGCCAACTGGTGTGGCAGCACGAACATGGAGAGAGATACACTGATGGGCACCGGAGAACGAAACAGAACACGGCCTGGCCAACAAGATTCCATGCTCAGATGCTGAATCGCGCCTCTTGTCCGGGCGGCGTTTGGTTAAGTTCCAGCACAGCATGGGCATGAGCTGGAAGCGTGGGTTGTCGGCGGTGTTTTGCGAGTGCCGGTCCGCAGTCAACGTTGTACATGTACAAATACATACCGCCGTGGCGTGGGGACTCGTGCAACAAAGTACTCAAGTACATAGGTACCTACATGTGACGTCGAATGTTTGCGCACGCATTTCAGAAAATACAAACGATGAAAAATGGAAACCAAAACCAAGAGGAAATTCCCAAGCAGCCACACAGATTGCTTCAGTCTGATAAGGCGTGCTGCCCTCAATGTTGTCTGCATCTTCAGCTCCTCACCATTCATGACTGTATGAGACATGCCTGAGATACCTGAGGGATCCACCGTCGGTGACGCCATTGAAAGCATGAACTTTAGTCCGGACTTACTAATTAATCGAGACTGCATTTGGTGATGTGGCAGTGTTCACGGCTGGGCGGGCGCGACACAGCCTCGCATCAACATGTCGAATCTCCCAGTCACAACAGCAGGTCAACAAGCTGCAAGCCGCTCTCCAAACTCCAGATGTCTTGAATCCAGATGTCTAGATACCAACGTATTGGAGGAGAGAGTAAGCCTGGTCCAGACGTCGGTCTCCCCCACACTCGGCACTCAATAAACTTCAATGTTCCCCTCGGAGCTACCAGTAGCGTCGTGGCATCGTGCCAAAGTTTCCTGGTTGACTTTATCCTCCCCTCGCCGACGCCATGGCCGACACCAACTCGTGACGGACGGTTGAAGATTTGCACGTCTGTCTGTCTGTCTGTCTGTCTGTCTGTCTGGCAATCGGTGTACCAAGCAGAGGTAGTATCTCAACAGTACACCGCCGGGACAAATATGTCATAGACTCCCCGGGCCATCGATCGCGTCGCATCGCGTCGCATCGCATGGTATTTCTGTCACGGCTGGCTGGAGATGCTGCGTAGGCGGCGGATCCTCTTTTTTTCGGAGGGGGCGCTTTGGAACCTGGCGTCTCGACGTCGATCCTGTGGAATCGCAAAGCTTATCCACGTGTGGCACTAAGTGGGAAGGCCGACGATGTGGTCAGGGACCATGTGCCTTCAAAACAGCGCTATCAGTGCGCCTGGCTCCTCGAATGTATTTCCCCGGGCCATGGGCTACCACTTGAAGTTTTCTTAAGGCAATAGCAGCATGGGCATGGTCAGTCGAGTCGAAACATGGGTGGAAACGCTCTCTGGCTGTCAAGAATCAAGATAAAGGCCGGGTTGCGCATTGGGAGCATCTAGGGAGCTATCAGCAATCACTATCCACGCGTTGTGTTTCTGCTGGTAGACATAAATGGGTTGGACCCTGGTCGCCATGCCTAGGTGACCTAGGGTCTATTCGACATGAAGAATCATGCTCGACGGAGTTAAATGGTCGTTCAGGGCGATCTGCGGCAAAATTGCGAGCCGTGCCACTTTCTCCGTAACGTGGCCATACGCGTGCCGCGGCCCGGCGCGCCAGACACGTCAGACTGAAGATTGATGACTCGATTTGTGCTTTTGTGTTCAGAATCTATCCCTCAACATCTCTGCATATGTTGCAATCAAGACTTGCCGGCCGAATTTGTCTCTACCGAGGAAGCTCAAGTGCTCAAAGCGTGGGGAGTGCAAGGTTAGCAACTTCAAACGACAGACATCCGTCTAACCTAGATCCTAGTGGTTTGACTGACTAGCACAAGGCAGATGTAGATCAGAACAGCTCGAAATGGACCAGTTTTAAGTTAAGTTGATGATGACATCCAAGTCGAGCAGACTTTGCCACTCTCAGACGGGCCCGTCAGCTTGGCGTTTCGCCTCGCGAGGACCCCGGATTCTCTGCATGTCGGAAGAAATTGGACACACGACACGGCATGCCTCCTCGTCTCCCTCAAACTCACCGCACGAATGTCTGTGCGGATCTTGGCAACTTGTTTCCAAGCAGTACGTACTCTGCGGATCGCCCTGATGCTATCACAGACATTGGCTGCGTTTGAGACCCCCGCACCATGCATATATGGTGAAATCGCCCATACTCCACGGCTTGGCACATAATTGGGTCACCTCGAGAGATATCACATGCATCCCCAGACAATTAGGGTAGAGTAGTTTCATATTTTGTCCTGCCGCGCTGCATATGTACAGCGACGTTGGGTCAGATAAATGCTAGCCCGTCTTAAGCATGGGCTTACACAAATAGCAGGTCATCCTTTCGGTTTTCTTCACAGCCGCATGATCCTACGAACCTCCCCGTCGCGGCGTCTAGCTGCTGGCCAAGCCAAATGACACAACAGATGGAGGCGACGCTTTGTGCAAGAAGAGGCAAAAGACTTCTTGGCTGCCGGGTTTGCTTCGCGATGCTTACACCGTTGTCCTAACAGGTGGCTTGCCAAAAACAGCTATGCATCTGGTCAGACTCACATCTCAACCATGGCAAGACTTCTCACAGCACAGGAACGTTTTGCGCTTCGGACTTTCGGCCTGGATATGCACATGTTGGCGTGATATAGACACACGTGCCATTTTCTCTTCGACGAAAAGCTAACTGAAGTAGGGTGGCAAGTTCTTGTCTGCCCTTTACTGTCCTTGAATGTAACAGTTGACGGCCGGACTGGCGTGTACTTGATAGGCGATGCTACCATTCAAACTTCCTGGTGTGCACTATTCATCCCCAACCTTGGTTTGAGGCATGCGCGTACGATGCCGCAGCTTGGAACATGAAAACAAAGCTCCACACATCAGATCATGTTTCATCCAGCCTTCTGTTCGGTTGGCCACGGCAGAACAGGTCTGACAGTTGAGGTCATTTCGCAATAGTTTCCTACGACGGTAGGCAAGAGGAGATTGTCCCCGACAAGCCAAAACGGGGACGCTCCGTCTGCCTAAGCCACGAGTCCCATGACACAACTTCCAACAAGGAGCTACCTACTGACGCTATTCTTTCTGAATTGATACCACCAAAATCTGCCAGGAAGTACTGCGTGTGTCTTTCTACCAGGCGGTCTCTTTGACGGCTTGGGTTCAGGGGTGGACAGGATGTGAATTGGGTTTCTATTCGCTGCCCTGGAAGTTGCTTTCATAGCGGTGCCATGGACGGCTTGAGGGACGTTCTGCCCGCGGGCACATGACAACTCCTCGCGCCGTATGGATAGACTGGTCACCCATTGTGCAGATGGTGATGGACGATTCCGCGAAGAATAGGACCAAGACCACACAAGAGCCGTTCGTCGCTGTTGCTGCTTCCCTGGTCTCGTCTCAAAGACACGACTTTCTCCCAGGCGTCTTGCAACGCCTTGGGCAACCACAACCACGTCAGTGAGGAAAATCCGGCGCCTCACACGTTGTACGTACATTGACAACAACGAGGTGATGATGACGCATGGTTTGACAGTAGCTTACTCGGCTGGGAAAAAAAAAATTGCACAACCCATGTCCGTTGGGAAGCAATGCCGAGACAAGGGCCACCATCTGATATGATGGCGTTGACTTCCTTCTTTCTCGCCCCCCCCCCCCCCG